AATATGTCATGCATGATGATTTATTTGTACGTGGATAATTATATTTAGCTACCAACACCAGATCAGTGACAAACACTAATTATAATCACCCGAAAAAGGAGTTTTAGTCATGAACTACCGTAGTTGTACAGCATACCTTCAGGTTTTGGCGAACAATCTCACCAATAGACCAGATTCACTGTAAATAAACCTTGATTTTGTTGTATGCCAACAAATATATTTGGCCAGCGCGAGTTACAAACTATAGTAATTGTGACGTTACCTTATAGGAAGTTACTTCGTGTGGAGAGTATATACCGCTTCTATTATAGTAATGAGCCCGTTGAACAAACGGCAAACAGCTTCACGATCATAATATATACACTAAGCATATATCGAAATATGTTCACAAGTTTTGGCGTTCAAAAGGCTTAATAAACTTTGAATAGTTATTGCTGTTTTACACATAGTCTAACTGGTGTTAATACGTGGTATACGTGGCCATGCAGTTTTACGATGCTATAAACGTCAATGTAGAGATTCTAATGCCAACGCACATTATTTCCTCTAATGTACCATCACATGCATGCGTAAACAAACGTATCCCACTCCCATAATCCATGCCAAAGATGACAGTTATGTTAATAAATAGAGGAAAGTCACACTACTTCACTGAGCTTCAGTGACTTCAGTGATGCTTTTTTTAAATGATGTATTATACTATACTCTGAATTTAATACACAAAAATACCATGAACTCCAGCAAATACTAGGAATTACTGTACAAATAAATGGTATATAAATATAGAAAGGACTCCGATTGAAGGTCTTTGGTCTGTACAATAAACAACACTATAAACATCAATTGTATTCAGTGCCTAAGCAGAATCTATTCAGTTGTATCGGTTTAACTTTTCCGAGACAAGTTATGCTACAAACTGAATATGAGAATTATAGATCCAAAATTTTACTTTATTCTTCAGCTTTTTTGCAATTAAAATTTTGGACCCCTGTAGTGTTTTTTGACCGAGTGCTATGACCAAGTCTATACAAATAGCACAGCAACTAAATAAGGTAAAGGTACAGAACCAAACAACAACAAATCATGTGAATGCGGATAGAGGCACGCGTTTCAACCAACTTTGGTCATGTCGTCAATGCTCGCTGGCTGAAAGGACATCCGACCAGATAACTGTAAGCCTCCGAACAGACAATTCTATCCATTGTTTGCAAAATGTAAAATCGTGTCGTACAGGGAGCATAGACGTTAGTCTATAGTTAACAAAAAGCCTTTTAAAACGAAGTCCAGTGCAAACGCTTGATGTTTTACAACGACGCATGCGCTCTGTATTACACGCACGCTTGCTAAATGTCTCCCACAAGCTACCCGAAACACAATAGTCACGGTAATATATACGAAGGCGTTACGTATATCTGATGAAAGAATGATGAAAGATCATTAGCGTCGTGTTTTGACTGTGACGGAAGCTACGAAAAACTCCGAAAAACTGACGACTGTATGGTGTGATACTAAATATCCGGGGGGGGAGGTCAAACAGCTAAAAGATGTAAGACTTTTGGCTGAATAATAATCAGTCGCTTGAATAATAATGAGTTGCTGAATAATAATTATACCCCGTGGCCGAGCGGAGGTCTACTATCTAGAACCCAAAAAATAAAAACAAAAAAAAAAAAAAAAATGCCCATTTTAAAGCTTGCTATGCTACGCATCGCAAGCAATTAAACTTTAATGACAAAAACATACATATTTGCATAATAAAGTCCTACCAGGTTCTAGGATAGATATTTGTAATTAATCAAACATTGACAACATGCCTTCATTAGGTTTATCATCTATAACAATACATTCAATATGGAAATCACATGCGAAAGATTATAGGTATTTTATATACTGCATAAACATAGTTACATAAACCAAAGATTATATTAATTTTTAACCTGGATATAGCTTAGTGCAGCATATTAGTTGGCCGGATGTTGTAAGATGTGGAATATTATCACTTTCTACATTATAACTATTTATTTAAAAATGCTATCAACTACTAAAGTTAACTAGGATATGATTGAAGTGAAAACCAGACTTATGCTTAATAAAACACTCCTGATGGTTCATTGATAAAATGGCAAATAAAAATTTCTTATGTATATATATGATTTATAGTTTAAGCACTTCTTGCAATTTATAATTATCTTTGTTTTGCTACCATGGCTCACATATGGAACTGGCATATCTACAAATATATTACAAAAAGCAAATCAGAGTAATATCTGGCCAGATCCATTTCTAAACAAATTCAAATTCAGCTCGGTCAGAGTAACACCTTCATAACAGTTGGATCTAATGGAAGGGAACCAAAAATAAATATGTGTAACTTTAAAAGAAATTTAAAAGATTGCACAGCATAGAAGCTAGAATTTGGTCAACTTCTCCCACATTTGACAATTCCTAACCATGAAGGGCTAAGTTTTAAAACAGTTGTTTTTGATAGTCTCTTGCATTCTGGCACTGACTGGTAACCCCTTCTCTAAGACTGATATAAAGATATCACTAGCAAGTTGCTTTGCTTGGACAAAGCCTACTTCTTCTAACACTGCAAGAATGGTAAGACAAAAGTAAAGAGGTGATGCATGGCAAGAAATGCAGGCCAACATGGCCGCCAAGCATGCGATACCGGTGCAATGCTTGCTCGTGGCAAGAGCCTTGCACCGGCATCTCAATTGCAAAAGCGTAGTAGTTGCTAACTACCGGAGTACCGGTAGTTGACTCATTTTTCATCAACTGTTCCTGGCTTGAATTTGAATTGTTTATAATTCTGCTCGAAATTAAGACCCTTTCAACGTCTTTTGGTTCGTGTTCAAAAATTGGTATCTGACCAGCACTGGTGCGTGTCATGGCTGGCATCGTATTTTTGAGTGGGACAAGTCAAGTTACCAAATTTGGGAAAGGTTTGTCAGAAAATGTTACCATACATGGCGGAGTACCCAAAGGAAGTAAATCAGGACCAGTTTCATTTATTCAGTGTATACAAAAATGGTCTACCATCAGTGTTGAAACAACCTGAAAGGAATGTTGATGAAGATTTGGGATGGATGACGATGATGTAATCACTATTTGTAATTGACACAACAATCTCCGAAATTATATAAAAAATCCTACGTCTAGTGATGACATTGGTATAATGCCACGAGAAATATATCTGAAGTTCTTCCCAAAGTTTTAAAGTCATATCGTGCAAGTTCTGATGAAATAAGAAACTTTTAAATCGTTGTTATCAGGCGAGTCCTCGAATATGGTGCGCAACGGTGTTGCATGGAAGAATAACAAACGACCAATGTAAAAAAATGAAAATATATACAAAAACTGAAAATGGTCTATAAATGCGATGACCACGAGAAAACTGCATATATAGAAAAGTAAAGTTAGGAAATCGACGAAATCGCATAATTATGTGTTGAATTAATCAGGGATAATTATATGACGAATGTGGACGAAAAATTGCAAAATGAAATTGCCACAAACACTGAGGTTGTTAGATCGAGGGAAACTAGATAAAACAGTCAATGTTCTATGCCAATGTTCAAATGTTCTATAATTATATACCAACATCCCCTAATTAAATCGCCATGTAGAGACAATGGACTAAGATATCGTCATCCCGCAATTACAGAGCTTGCTTATTCCTGTTCGCGACGCATACCGGCAAAGTCAAGATATAAGCAAACGAGATGAAGGTAGGTCACTATGTAATAATTTGCCCTGTAGATTTACACAAATGTTACCAAGAAACTGAGTCGAAACATTGGCCATCAGCGTTTTCAGACCCAGCTGAAATAAAGCCAATTTGTACAAATCTGACACTTGGATAGTTCAGCCGTTTTGCTAATGAAAGAAGCTGCCTTCTTTCTTCATGTACACTACCCTCTTTTAGTTTTCATTATACTCGGCACGGTCAGCAATCGGTTTGTCTTGGTAAGGTTGATATAAACCGTCATGTGTAGGCGTACTGTCTCTTAAAGCAACACTATCGCATCGTCTTCAACTTCCAATATTAACAATACATAATCCGGGATGAATTAGATATCCGAATGAAGTTGGCTGTCTAAGTTGTCGGAAGAACTTGACGACGTCGTTTCAGCGAAAAACGAACCAAAAAGTTTATACACAACAATATTTCTATATTTTAAAGCGTGTTTCTTGTTTACAAAATTAGCGTGTTCTCCAATGTACGCCACTTCCGGTGAAAAAAGGGCAACTATAGTTCCCAGTCGCAGCACCTCACGTTCAAACACGAAAAAAGCCAACTTTGAGGCCCGAAATGTACATGAAGATCAAATTTTTGTCTTATCAAATACATATATTGCAAATGTTCTTAAAATCGTCTGATCTATCTAAGTAGGTTATTTCCCTGAGGTTGATATTGGCACTTTTATCTTTTCAATTACAATGCAATACTGAGAAAAAAAGCAGTAATTTAGATGAATAATTTTTTGTTTATCATGCAAGTCATAATCTTAGATCTCCTGAGCGTTTAAAGATTTTAACAAGATCGAAACTGGATCACGCAGTTCTTGGTCCACTATAGTACGATCGCACTTCTATGCATGTATAAAGGCGCTACATTTTGCTCCCAGAAATCAATTTGTGTGCTTCTGAAAACTGAAAATTCGCGTCGCGTTGCCTCATCGCGTTTCGTCTGTTTCAATATTTACGCTACCTGCAGCACATGCTCCTCCTCAACCCACTCGATCTTGTGCCTAAAATATCAATTACCTGTCTGTTGTAAATAACACTAAGCGGTTGCATCCACGTCATGGATTAGACTGACGCAATTTAAACTCGCTATATTTTGAATGACCTTAGCCTGTGCCCCAGTCCATACACGGAAAAGTATGGACTGTGCATTAATCTCAAATTTCGCGTCCGAGCGCTTTCAAGCAAACGGGGAAAATTTATTCAAATTATGCGGAAAATATGTATAATTAACTAATATGCAAATCAACATGGCCGCCGCGCATGAAGGATCGCAAATTGAAGATGCTCTATTCGAAGAAGCTTTGGACTTCATTAAACATGTATTCCACATAAATGAATTATACCATGAGCAAATACAATTGATAAAAAGCTTTTGTAAAGGTAAAAATATATTTTTTAACGCTCCAACTGGGTATGGAAAGTCAATTGTTTTTCAATCACTTCCGTGGATATATGACATGGTTTATGAGCAAAGTATAGGATTTTCAACATTGATCGTTATTTCACCTCTGCAATCGTTAATGGAGGATCAATGCAATCGAATGAAAGAGATTGGAATCTCTTGTATATGCCTATATTCCAAAGAATCCTTGAACTCAATGGCAGAATACGAAACAATTTTAAAGGATGTGAAGGACGGTGTTTATTCGTTGGTATATGCTTCGCCTGAATGCATGCTTGGGAAAAACGAGTGGAGAAGAATTTTGTACAGTGAAGACTTTAGGGATCATTGCATTGGTGTGGCCTTTGATGAAGCACATATAATAGCACACTGGTAGGTATATGATATTAAAGTAAATTTGGCATCTTTGCCTACCCAGTACCCAGTTAAAAAGGTTCTGCATGTCCCACAAGTGTATGTGAGTGCAATGGTTTAATAATATACGATTATTTTTCTAACAGGGGATCAGATGTAACAGGAAAAAAGCCATTTCGAAAATGGTATGGGGAACTCCATGAGTTTAGATGTCTTTTAGCTGAAGAAGTAAAATTTGCTTTATTTACTGCTACTGCCACAAAACAAACAAAACATAAAGTTTTTGACATGTTAAATATTAGTGAATCAGAAACATTTTTTATTGAAAAAAACCCGGAAAGAGAAAATATTAGATACTGTGTTGAATATGTTGAAAATGACAAAGACTTTGAAGATATTTTTCATATCATCACATCTGAATTGCTGGAGAAAAAGGAAATGTGTTCTCGAAGACTCATATATACTCAAACGCGAAAACAATGTGCAAGCATTTATAATTTTTTTTCATCTGTACTAGAAGATAACATTTATATGAAAGATGAACAAAATCCTAGATTTCGACTAGTGGAAATGTTTCATGGTGGAACACCAGAAAGTGCAAAAAAGCATATTGTCAAGCAATTTGCTAATCCCGACAGTTGCCTGAGGGTGCTGATATGTACTGTTGCTTTTGGTATGGGGGTCAATTGTTGCAATGTTAACGAATCTATTCATTTTGGAGCTCCAAAAAACATAGAATGCTATATGCAAGAAAGTGGCAGGATTGGACGTGATGGTACAAGTAGTATCAGTAGAATACTATACAATGCAAAATTACTGAGAGGTTCTGAATCCCAAATGGTAAATTTTATTAAAGGATCCAGTTGTAGAAGACAAGGACTAACAAAGAATTTTGAAAATTATCAAGAAAAACAATTTACTGGTTGTCAATGTTGTGACAATTGTGCAAAGCTGTGCAACTGCTCCAAATCTTGCTGCAAGTGGACTATGATGATCTCAGCTACAAAGCAATTAACTGTTACTGCTGCTGATAAAAAAAAACGGGCTGTTTCAGACCAGCAAAAAACTGAGCTACACACACTCCTTCAAGAGTATAAAATAAACTTCACCAAGGATGCAACAATATCATTGTCAAGTGTTCAGAACGAATTCAGCAGTTTCCACATCAATCAGGTTTTAACAAACTGCGAATACCTGTTCACAACTGATGATATCACACATTATGTTGAGATCTGGCGTAAGGTCTATGCTCATGACATTTTAGTAATCCTAAATAAAGTTTTTAATGATATAAAGATCGAGGATATGTCATCACTTAATGTGCTAAAGTTGGATGAATCAATGGAAACTAGTTTCCATGATGAATGGCTTAGCATGAATGACTCTGTTAATGACAACTATTCATTTTGGGATTCCGACTTGCTACAATCCTTTGACTCAGTAGCTGATTGTTCTTACAATTTGACTGAATATGAGGAAACAAGTATGGATGCTTCAGAACAGTCCTCATTTTGTTAAAGTTGTATATAAATAGGGTTTATATATATTTATTTTATTTTGTATGAAATATATAAAATATATATACATATATATATGAAAATACTGAAATTGCAGCCAGGAGTAATCATTATATATAAGAGAAAAGGTTGACACTGGCTATAGAAACGTAAGACAACGTTTATTAAAAAAGTTAAAAGGCATTTCGGTTGAAAATCTTTAATGTTTTTCATTATGTTACAGGCCATCGCCATGTTCACACATGGAACTTTTGTGAATTATATTAACGTGCCTTTCTTTTCTTAACTGTGTCATCTTTGTGCTGGTTTATCCAGTCGTAAAAGTGGTGGAAATTGAAATCAGCAAGCATGCTTGGCTTGATATTTTTATACACAGCATATTTTCTTTTTGGTTGAGGAACTAAAGCTTTCGAATTCATGAGCTCTTCTACAATTTTTGCTTTATCATTTGAATCTGACCTTTTGTAATGTCGTCCAGATCTTTGTATAATCCCAGTGTAATCATCAAAATCTTCAAGCAAATTCTTAGTAAATCCCAGTGCCTTCATGTACCGCTGCAAAGTATTCTCGTTTGTCTGATTAGGACCAAGTTTTCTCTTTAGTAGTTTTACTATACGTATGTAATGTTCCATCGCTAAGTCAATTGGGATATTACCGCCAAGTCCCGATTTCTTCTTGACACTTCTATTCCAAATGAGTCGGTAGGATTCTCTAGCAGGCAACAAACAATTAACTTGGAACAAGAGATATAATCCCTCTAAGCAATACTTTCTACTCGAAGGACCGTCGGCTTTTAAATACAAAAGAAAAATTTTCCAACAACGTAGAATACGTGCGCCATCTCCCTCCGACACACCATCTTGAAAATTTTTTAGTAGCATAAGATACTCCAACAACGAACATTGATAGTTATACATATCGTCATCATTATTATCAATTGACAGGACTGCTTTCGCTTTTACTATGCCATGTGCTTTCTCCTCATGATCTCTCTTCCTCTTTCCGTTGAACCGAAACGTTTTTTTGCAAGAAGGTTCTTGGCATCTCAACTTTCCATCAGAGGTTGTTACCAAAGATAAACGTTCTTCTTCTAGGTCTTCTTTTACTTGTAACACGTGCGCAAAGGTCTTCTTTTGTAGAATAAACTCATCAACAACTTTAGCAGCTAAATCGCTCAGAAATCTTTTACGTTCTGGCTTTCCTAAGTTGCTCAATCCATGCGGGACAACAGATTCGTCTGGGTTTTCATCCATTCTTTCAATTCCTAGAACTGTTAGTGTTGCTGCTAGCACTCGCGATTCGAGTGATAAGCCTAGAAATTTCTTAGTAGCTGCATAATTTTTCTTCACTTCTGTTACAACATTGCGTCGATTGATGATGACTTTGTCGCTACCCAAAGTGCAACGATCGAGACATCCGCTCTTGTAAAAATGGTCCATGCAAAGCTAAATGAAGAAAAAGAAAACCCTCACATGAATCTCTATTTTTGGCCTTTGACAAAAAATTCAACTGTCACATGAGTAACGTACAGTATAATATATTTTACATACTTGCATGAATTTCATTTCCGAGTGAAAATCAGCAATTTCAAAATGAATGTCGTCGAATCTCTCTTGGGGCGTAAAGCCATTTACCAAATTAAATTGGGCATTCGCTCCTCGTTCCACAGATAGCTGATCACCAATCACTCCTTGCTTATTGTATATTCTTTTCTCATCATCACCAACAAAGACCTGATATTTTTGAAAGGTTGTTAATATTTCATTTATTCCATCCTTGTCGTTTTCGTCGGCAGGTAGTAAGTGAAGAAATGACTAAAGGACAAAAAAGACCTGTCAATGAAACATGGTAATAACAAACACGGTAATGCTTGCATGGCTTGCCAGTTTTGTCTTTAAAATAACAATTTATTTCAGTCCCTTCGATCACCCTCAAACTATCTACGTGAGACCTGGTAATATAAGGCAAACTTTACCAACAACCCGTGATAAGAAATGAATTGATTTTTGAATTTCTTTCCGTTGCTAATTGTCGTTTAAAGACAAGTCAAATGAAATGGAATTTTATAATATGGGGGCGGGGGGGGGGGGGTTGTAGTTTAGTAAACATACCATATCACATTTCTTTGCCATCTCCCTGGAATGTAAATGAATGATATGTTTAGTGACAACATCTTTGAGAGATTGTAGACACTCTATATCATTTGTAATAATTCTTTCCACCAAAACAATGTAATTGTCACGCTGAATGTGATGATCTTCTTGACTACACAAGAAATTGGCGTTGTCAAATTCCATCAGTGCTTGTTGAGGAGCTTCCATCCCCAAAGTGTTATTGTTCACACGGTTGGGCACAAACGAGACTGCACAATCATGGGTGTCAATGTTTTGATTTGCTTCCGTCATATTGTGCACCTTTATGTAAGTGTCGACGTTGTCAAAACATAGCTACAATACAATACAAAAAAATTAAATGAAGTGAAGATAATTATATATGGCAACAAATGTCTAATTTTCTAGATACCTATTGGCAAATACAATAGAAATGCAGTACCTTGTAACCCTTAGAAACAATTGTTTCCACAGGGTCTTTGGCAACATCAGTTTCTTCTGACATACATGTATTTGTGTTTTTCTGTATTGCTGGACTGGATTCTTAAAGGAAAAATGTTCACTCTCAGTAAAGAGATCATGCAAATTATAAATGTATACAAAGCAATAAATATTTATACTATACACTAAAAATTTTATCAGTCCAAATAGATTTGAATCTAACAACATACGAATGCATTGTTTCATCGCTGGTATAGCGAAATCAATCTCCAGGTCAGAGTGAAACTTGTCTTCAATAAGTGCAAGGCGTTGCTCCAATATTTTTTTTGATGCTTCAGACAAAGATGAATTCCCCTCATTATCAGTTTGGTCCTCATTTTCCTCAACACAGTGATCATTTTGTGATGGGAATTTTTCATGCAGACTTTGTTTTTCCAAATCCATCATTTCCATGATAGCATCATCATGACCATGACCAAACTCATCCAACTTTTTGTTGAAAAAAGTGTGTGAAACAGCAAGCCTCATTTGCTTTAAACGAATTAAGGTTGACTAAAATGAAAGTAGTTAAATAGCATCAGACTAATTTTCTAGAAAGTTTCTCAATACAAAAAAAAGGTTATGGTGACCTATAGTATTTCTCCATGTTGGATGAAAAACATTTTGATGAATTTCAAAAGGATGCCATAAATTTCAAAATTTACTGTATTTTTCATCCAAATAGCCATGTGACTCATTAATGCTAGTCACCTGTAAACTTTATTCAAATCAGGGTTGAAGGAACATTTTCGATATTAGGAGGCACCAATGTTTAAATTTTGAACATCTAGATAATCAGTATTCAGGGACAAAAAATACTTAAAAATTAGAGGGACCATCTTTACTGCTTCCCAGCTTTCTGCAATCTTGATTTAAAAGATATAAATAACAAAAGGCTTGATACAAAAAGCTTTAGGTGTTACGTACTTTTCATAAATGTATTAAGTACAATATATTTGTACTTACTGTGTATGATGAATGGTTAATTATCAATGAAATTAACAGCTGTACGGCTGTCATCCTCTGGGATCGATTTTTAAGGCATACGGATGCAGCAGTCACAATTGCTGTGGTTAAATAAATGTCTGTATCTTCTGCCCTAGAAGAAGACATTGATGCAGACTTTAAGATGCTCCAGAATATAGGACACCTTTCCTTCATTTCTGACTCTGCCTTTTCAAAACTGAATGACGATAGGTCTTCCTTGGATGTCCTTTTGAATATACTTCGAACATCCTTTTTGAAAAATTTCTTTTTTCTGTCATTCTCAGTGCCACAACCTTGATCTTTTCGTTTCTTAAATGGAAAAAGATTCCTTCTGCTCTTTGGCTCTGTGGCTTCTGATGTTTGCTCACTAACCGGGACCTTGACACTTTCTCTACACATACCCTGACACTCTTTATTCACCTCTTTTTCAATAAGTGGGATCAGTTGAGCCCTTATTAGTGGGTGTTTCAATGCAAATTTGGCCATGTTTTTATTTTGTGTTCTAAGTAAATATATTCCCATTTGTGTGAGGTCAGATGGGAGTTGTCTGTAGCGTTCACCAGTTGGCCAACATACATGAACAAACACAACTGTCTTCTCAGAGGTGTCGATCGCAAATGACATGTTTGTTTGGGTGGTTTTGTCTGTTTTCATTGTATCATACCGGTCCAGTGTTTTCTCGTGATTAACTCCACACAGGTTATTAGCAACATTCATCTCGCATGAATAACCAGCTTTTAAGTGAAGTTCATTCAGCTCTCTCTCTAGTTTATGCATTTTATCTCGCGCTTGAAACCAAGCCTTTAAACTGGCTTTACATTTTTGGCAAATATATGCCGAATTGCTTTGAACTTTAAAAGGCAACTGGACAATGAAGTCTATCGGCCGAAATTCGCTCGTGCCAGCAACTAGATTCATATCTTTCCTATTAACCAATTCACTTCCACAAATTTTACACGTCTTCATAATGTATATAATCGCAATAGCCTAGTTTAACGATTTAATCCTTTCCTTTGGCATAAAACTGGATACGTCTCTCTTTGCGCGGCGGCCATGTTGATTTGCATATTAGTTAATTATACATATTTTCCGCATAATTTGAATAAATTTTCCCCGTTTGCTTGAAAGCGCTCGGACGCGAAATTTGAGATTAATGCACAGTCCATACTTTTCCGTGTATGGACTGGGGCACAGGCTAGAATGACCTTGACTGCCCAACTTTGAAATATCTCGTCAAAAAAGTATTTTTCCGCGTTGACGAATGTCCGTATAGCAACCGAAAAATGTAGAGCTAGTTAATTATCGGGAACTCACAGCGAGCAAGCATCGAAGAAGTCAACATTTTAATGTTGGCTGGTCACTAACTTTAAGATCGATGCATCGCCATCTTATTTAGGCGTCGATTTTCCGAATAACCTCAAAGACTTAGCTACAAATTTACATTAGCGATAATTGGGGGGAGGGGGGAGGGTAACATATCCATCTATTCTTGTTATATATGAAATTAATAATATTGCACAACATGAATATATTAATGATATGAATATCGGCCATCTATTGCATGGTCTATCGCAGAGCTTATTCCTGTTCGCAACGCAGACAAATTAATTCAAGATATATAAGCAAACGAGTTGAAGGTAGGTCACTTCATGTAATAATACATTATTTTTCTATACAGGGTGAGTAAAAAAAACTGACACCTTTGAAATTCAAATTAGCTGTGAACTAATGGCTGGAATATGACAATTCCCATGTACAATCAACAAAAACGATTTGATAAAACTGTTCTTTTGTATGTACAGAGCTTAGAATGCATTTTAACTCCCAATGCATGGGAACAAACTTTATGTTTTAGGTTAATTAATATGATATGCTTTGTATACCTATGAAATATTTTAAGCAACTTCTATCACATTATTGCCGCTATCCGGCTAATTTGAATTTCAAAGGTGTCCGTTTTTTTTTACTCACCCTGTATATCGTACTTTGGCCTAATGTATGTTTGAAAGTCCGACGGGATCTGACCACGAAAAAACTGCAAATATAGAAAAGTAAAGTTAGAAAATCGACGAGATCGCATAATTATGTGTTGAATTAAGGAGGGATAATTATATGACGAATGTGGACGATAAATTGCAAAAGGAAATTGCCACAAAGACTGAGGATGTTAGATCGAGGGAAATGAGATAAAACAATCAATGTTCTATGCCAACGTTCAAATGTTCTATAATTATATAGCAACATCCCCCATTTAAATCGCTATGTAGAGACAATGGACTAAAAGATCTTCATTCCGCAATTACAGAGCTTGCTTATTCCTGTTCGCGACGCATACCATTAAAGTCAAGATATAAGCAAACGAGATGAAGGTAGGTCAATATGTAATAATTTGCTCTGTAGATTTACACAAATGTTAGCAAAAAACTGCGTCGAAACATTGGCCATCAGCGTTTTCAGACCCGGCTGAAATATAGCTAATTTGTACAAATCTGACACTTGGATAGTTCAGCCGTTTTGCGAATGAAAGAAGCTGCCTTCTTTCTTCATGTAGACTACCCTCTTTTAGTCTTCATTATACTCGGCACGGTCAGCAATCGGTTTGTCTTGGTAAGGTTGATATAAACCGTCATGTGTAGGCGTACTGTTTCTTGAAGCAACACTATCGCATAGTCTTCAACTCCCAATATTGGCAATACATGATCAGGGATGAATTAAATATCCGAATCAAGTTGGCTGTCTAAGTTGTCGGAAGAACTTGACGACGTCGTTTCAGCGAAAAACGAACCAAAAAGTTTATATACAACAAGATTTTGCACTTTATTGTCGCAATATTTCTATATTTTAAAGCGTGTTTTTTGTTTACAAAATTAGCGTGTTCTCCAATGTACGTCACTTCCGGTGAAAAAAGGGCAACTAGTTCCCACTCACAGCACCTCACGTTCAAACACGAAAAAAGCCAACTTTGAGGCCCGAAATGTACATGAAGATCAAATTTTTGTCTTATCAAATATATTGAAAATGTTCTTAAAATCGTCTGATCTATCTAAGTAGGTTATTTCCCTGAGGTTGATATTGGCCCTTTAATCTTTTCAATTACAATGCAATACTGAGAAAAATAGCAGTAATTTAGATGAATCATTTTTTATGATGCAAGTCTTAGTCTTAGATCTCCTGAGCGTTTATCGATTTTCACAAGATCGAAACTGGATCACGCAGTTCTTGGTCCACTATAGTACGATCCCACTTCTATGTATAAAGGCGCTACATTTTGCTCCCAGAAATCAATTTATGTGCTTCTGAAAACTAAAAATTCGCGTCGCGTTGCCGCATCGCGTCCGGTCTGTGTCGATATTTATGCTACCGGCAACACATGCTCCTCCTCCAAACCCACTTGATCTTGTGTCAAAAATATCAATTTTCTTTCTGTTGTAAATAACACTAAGCGGTCGCTTCCACGTCATGGATAAGACAAACGCAATTTAAACTCGCTATATTTTGAATGACTGTGACCGCCCAACTTTGAAATATCTCGTCAAAAAGGTATTTTTCCGCGTTGACGAATGTCCGTATAGCAACCGAAAAATGTAAAGCTAGTTAATTATCGGGAATGCACAATGAGCAAGCATCGAAGAAGTCAACATTTTAATGTTCCGAAAAATCGGCTGGTCACTAGCTTTAAGATCGATGCATCGCCATCTTATTTAGGCATCGATTTCCTGAATAACCTCAAAGACTTAGCTACAAATTTACATTGGCGATAATTGGGGGGAGGGGCACATATTCATATATTCTTGTTATATAAGAAATTAATAATATTGCACAACATGAATATAATAGTTATATGAATATTGGCCATCTATTGCATGGTCTATCGCGGAGCTTATTCCTGTTCATGACGCAGACAAATTAAGTCAAGATAATTATATAAGCAAACGAGTTGAAGGTAGGTCACTACATGTAATAATACATTATTTTTCTATATATCGTACTGAGCACTAATTTATGTTTAAAGGTCCTGCATGAACTTGATATTGACACACTATAAATATTATAAACAGTGCATGTACAACTATGATTATTTTCCATAGTGGATTTAGTTATTCCCGCGCTGTTGAGTTTTTAACACAATTGTGAGCAAGAAACTGCGTCGAAAAATTGGCCATCTGAGTTTTTAGACATTACATAATTTATAGTTAATTTGTATATTACTCAATAATTACGTTACATGTGATTGGCAAGAGTGTTAAAATGGCGCAGTATATCTGAACTGTTATGCATAAAAAAATGTACGAAAGGGAAGTGTGACACTGTCATGGTTCGTGCAACTCATGTGGCAGCTATATATACAACAACATCCCCTTTTATAAGTCTGTTCACACGTTACTATATATATCTTCTCTGATGCAATTCACTTCGGACGAATGAATTGTGCCATTGTCTGGTTGCGCATCCAATAGTATGATAATGTAACACATGAATATATGAACATGTGCTCCCGCAATTGTCGTATCCTGTACACACTTATTCTTTATATTTTTAATATTTTGTAGTGATGATTGCTTTCATAGCGACTCGACTTCTCTGTGGCCTAGTATTCACACTAGGTACGTAATTTTTGCTTCCTTTATTTCTTCTTGTACTTTGTTTGTGCATGAAATCAGAATCTAATATATATGGCCGCGATGTTGCGTTTAGTTTTTGGTCATTTTACCCACTGCTTTAAGGCAAATAACTGCGACATGTTGGCGCCTTTTTTAATCCGTTATGTAATTACATTAAACCATATTTTTTGTCAAGAATAAAAGCCCAACAAGACATCAAAGAAGGCGCATGAGTACAATCAACTTCATATGATTACAGCGCACTCACTAAAGTTGCGTAAATATATATCATGGGTATATAATTATTGCGTAAATATAACTTAGCACCAATGTCTTCAACCAGACAATCGTCAGCGTTCGCACCTGTATGTTCACACAATGCTAAGTTCCGTTGTGTAGTAATTTTGAACTGTAGAAATTTGGTCGATTATTTTGTATGTTAAATGGAAAAAGCGCGTGGGTTGAGTTGGGTCCACAATTTAGATTCGGAAGACGACATTTAATAAAGTTAGAGTGCTTCAAGGTTCTAAAGGAAATTGAAACACGTTCAGAAGTTTATCAAATTATTATTATTATTATTATATATTTGATTTCCCTTTAATGCTTAGCTCTTAAAAGTAAATTGCGTGCTTAAATATCGTTAACATAATTTAAATTCTTAACCTGTTATTCACATTTGATCGAGCAATCAATTTTGACATCACTGATTAATAATTATATAAAATTTATGAGACCTGGTATACACTGAATTATCGTAGTCAATCAGATTATGCATGATCGCAACATTCTCTCGAGTTATTTCAACATCGCGCCGACTTTCCGTTTAAAGATGTTATATATATAGTCTTCAGATTATGTCTTGCTTTGTATTTTGTGAAATTGTCAGATGGCATTGGTTTCTTATCTCGCTTGTACGTCTTATTAATTTATTTTGTCATAGACTCATAGTAAGTAAGCGTAACATCGAGTCCCTTTTTATCAGGATATTAAAGTATACTTCATTGTATGAACTGTAATATAAATCGGGACTTGTCTTTCTTCCTTTAATAAAGGCACCGCCACGTCTTCAACAACACCACGTAAACTCCTATTTTTTAATGAAAAAGTAGCTCATGAAATCAAATCAAACTTGAAATAGCGTTTTCATTGCAATACATTATTTTTCTCTTTTCTTGCAGATCCATGTGGTAATAACCATCTGTATACTCCTGCTACACTTAAAAGTCCTGTTTATCACAGTTTTTACTCTATAGACTGCAACTGGATTATTTCTGCCACCAATGGATCAAGGATTCTGTTAACGTTTTCATATTTTTCGGTAGGTTATAATTAGGTAACTCTTACAAAGCTTGACCCCACCAGTGGAATAAAACTTCCGTTTAATGTACTGAAATACGGCCAACAAATTTTATTTTTGTTTTACTTTTAGTCGCAAAGTCAGTCACGTTGTGATTATAATTATTTGGACGTTTATGATGGTGGCTCCTCGTATGCACAAAAACTTGGACGATATTGTGGAGACGAATCAAAACTAAGTCTGACATCATCTGGATCCCACCTCTTTATTGCATTCCACTCGGATGGTATTATACCAAAATTTTTTTTGAATTTCTCAAATACAGTTGGTAAGTTTTACTTACAAATTTAACGCTAATGGCGAACATTGAAAACGCATACATGTATAAACTGTCTGATTTTTTAATAATATAGCGAACTGTGTTCGATCATGCCCGCATCGATTATATCATTCACTAAATAGACAAAGCCATGCTGTTTTCATAGTAACCGGATTTATAAATTTTTTCTTATCTAAAGACGAGTCTGCATCTTTTAGCGTTTCAAAGGCCATTACATGTAACTGCACTATTAGTGTGTTGTCTTAATGCCGTTATATATACAACGCCTTCCAATGAAATTTGTCATTTTCCAAACTTTAAAATTCCGCCATAATTAGCCAAATTTTGCTAAATTCTGCGGAATTTGATTTTTTTCCGCAAAAATATCATTGAATTACTAAATCCAGCGGACTTCACTGTCAGTTTCATCATAAAAGTCATTTTTTTGCGGATATATGTTAAAATTTCGTTGGTGAAAAAGCCTATTTCTCGCGGACTAAGAAAACTGTGCCCTCGTTTTTACTGTTTTTCGAAAATCTTAGCGGAGTGAACCAACTATGGCTCCAAAATCAATAAAAAGCGAGAAAATCTGAGGAAAAGTTAGTACTTACGAAAACTATACTTACCAGTAGAATTTTTACAAATACACAAGGGTGTCCGAATTTCGGAAACCCCTATATCTCGATGCGAGAGACATATAGGGGTGTCCAAATTTCGGAAACCCTTATATCTCAATGTGAGAGACAAATAGGGGTGTCCGAATTTCGGAAACCCTATATCTCAATTTGAGAGACAAATAGGGGTGTCCGAATTTCGGAAACCCTTATATCTCAATGTGAGAGACATATAGGGGTGTCCGAATTTCGGAAACCCTTATATCTCAATGCGAGAGACATATAAGGGTGTCCGAATTTCGGAAACCCCTATATCTCAATGTGAGAGACATATTGGGGTGTCCGAATTTCGGAAACCCTATATCACAATGCGAGAGACAAATAGGGGTGTCCGAATTTCGGAACCCTTATATCTAAATGTGAGAGACATATAAGGGTGTCCGAATTTCGGAAACCCCTAGCTATATCTCAACGTGAGAGACATATAGGGGTGCCCGAGTAACGTAGTGCACTGTATCTACAATGGGTTAATATAAAAGCTCAAAACAATGCAGTCCATACTTAGGGAGTTTTTATTATTCATATCAGTGATTATTCCTGAAGATAAATGAGTCATTTGAATGTTGGCATACATTTTAGTTAGCATGCGATAATGATATTGAGGGTAATATTCTCCAATGGTTCTGCACTTAAAAATTTAGCATCTTGCGTCTGTATAATTATAGGTACAAGCGTAGAAAATATTTTGTTTTTTAAATTAATCCAGACCCTTAGCCCTTTTAGCTTCCTCCCGATACCACCGTTTTAAATATTTTCTGGTATTTTCTTGGAGATGTCTGTTATCGTCAAGTTCGAACGAGCAGAGAATGACTGAATCTTTTAGAAGAGTGTCTGTCCAAGGTATTTCACCATCTTTGCTCGTAACCATAAAGGGTTGCCAGGTCGTGGTATATGTACCTTTCCAGTAATGCAACTTGAATTCAAAACTTCACAAACCAGTCTCGAGCTAATTCCTCCGAATCATTTTTTACTGAAATATGCGCAAAGAAAATATCTTAGTCCTATTGAAAATTTTGACATATTTTGAGAGTTTTAAAATATTACTAAAAGTTTAGTTTGGCGCGACTGATAGCGTATAAATTATCCGTTTTGTCATTTTAATGAATTTTGGCATTTTGATTTGAATTAAAGATTTTATGTTTATCATGGTGTCCCTGAACTACATGCATTTATCCGCACCCTTTATATGTATAAAATATCCAGTTCTGGGTTTAATCATATAGTGTTAGCTGTTGTTGGTGACACATTTTAGCTTTGTATGTATTGGCGGAAAAACTGCATGTCATCATCGAATTGCAAGTTGACATGCATTAGCAGTGCTTAGATATATACAGCCCCGATTGTTTTATTTTACTTTAAAAATCTAAGCGCGCTTCGCCCGTAATGGAAAAACGCCTTATCCTAAAATCGAAAGTATCCATTCTCATTTACATGGGTATGGTGTTCCATTTATCCCCACGTGTGTCTTTAAAATAATTAATTTAAATGAGTACTCTAGCATGTATGAAGTTATGTGCCAATATAACCAGGGAGCAGCGTGGCAGGGTCTTCAAACGTATAATTCCACCCGAAGTAAAGACCCTTTGAACTTTAGAACTTGATCGAGTGCCAAAGATCATAAAAATCCGCTTAATATTCACTTAAATATTCATGAATATATTGGTGATTGCGTTTTTTTACAGCCTGTAATTCATTGGTTTATATATTTAACAATCTTTACGCCTTTCTGGTCTTGGGGAACAAAATTATAATCTAACATATTGATTCACGCACAAACAAGCGCCGGGAATAATGTAACTGTAAATCCTCAGTGACCAGATATTTTAATTGTTGAGCGCACGCAAAGTCGGCTTGGTATATGAAAATTTGCAGAATGGTGTCTGACTCAGGATACAGAAGTATTATTATCGCGTGATAAAATCACTTGCAAAATATCATAAAAATTTATCGCTTACCACTGCTATCGGTTGAATCGTATTGTAAAGCTCTCTAGACTTTTTTTGGGCTCCTACTTGGTACATATGCTAACGGCGTATCGTGTGGCAAACGATTACACGAAAGATCTAAAATCAAATAACAAAAATTTGCATTCTTATTTCACATAATAGAGCACAAATTAAGAAATCGCTCTGAAACCTGAAACCAAATTTTCACTCAAAAACCAAATATGATAAAATATATAGCAATCGCCAATGCCTTTCTATTTAGATTAGTTTCATATAAGATCATAAAGGATCATAAAGGATCTATTTGCGTCGCTACTTAACCCAACAGAAAATGGTGAAGAAAATTCTTCGGGCAGATCTGTACTAGTTGGGATTGATGAAGGAGAAGCTTCAAGTGAGTTTGAAACTGTATACATAAGATAGGGAAAAAAAATTAAAAGTATATGTATAATTATATGGCATTATTAATTCATGATGCTCTTACTTTTTGCCTCTGAATCATGAGAGGAGATGATTTTTCACTGTCACTAAATCTTATATCAAAACCGGGTGAGCTGCTGGTGGCTGACGCTGGTCCTTTCTTATTCGTAGATAACAAAGACAATGCTGGTGATATTGGTTCATATATATATATATATATATATATATATATATATATATATATATATATATATATATATATATATATATATATATATATATATATCAGTAAATTGCGCCGAAGCTCGAAGGTGATTCCTTGTTGTCTGACAACCTGTTTTATTTTTCAGTCCACTGATTGGATTAGGATATTCCTATTAATTAACTCTCTGACAACGGAAAAAACTTTTCTTTGTTATTGGTTGAGTTTACCGCTTTGACCAGGTGTAATGTTCATATAATATACTTCGCACGCGCGCTCTTCCCACATCCAACATATTGAGCTTCAATTGTCAATGCCAGTAGTTTTGTGAGGGAGTTTATATATATAGATATGCCACAAATGAAAAAGTGGTCGGTTCGCGTAAGGCAAGGAAAGGCGTATGTATATGTTGCTGGAAAGCCGCTAGCAAAGACAGGCGTCGAGTATCATCAGTGCTGCCGGCGTGAAAAATGAGGATAATAAGCCTCTCAATTAAGGTATGTATTAAGTTTCGATATTTTGAAACCTTTTTGATATTAGCTAGCTTTAGGCTTGTCGGATTTATAGTAGGTAGAAAGAAAAAACCCTCCTTTTTAAGAGCAAAGCTATAGGCTGGAAGAAAAATATAGCATATATAAAGGCTTTATTTAAAGGCATGCTATGCACATGTATATATAGTTATATGTGTGATCAAATTGCTTGAGACTGTCGTTATCTATATTTGGTTACCGCTGAAATTCCATTTTCGCGCTGCGTTTTCATTTTGTTTCATTGGCGCTTCGTATATGATCCCTGTTTGCCCGAGAAAAAACGAAGTAGGCATGTCATTATTTATAGGGATTGAATAAAATGACAATGTCGGTGTCGTAGTACGAGTAAAGTACGAGTATGCAGCTGAATGTATGCAGTAGCGTAGGCAGCCCGACGATTTGTCATGCTATGCTAATATTTTGGTGTTCATTGACTGTGAAAACAATGAATTTATAAAGGCAGGAATAATTATAATAACTTGAAATTTAGATAGCGGGACAAAATCTTTAGGCTGGCTACGCCACTGCATGTATGTGATCAATGTATATAAACACTCTCCTTATTATACAAGACCCTTGTCCCGGCGAGACTGTTTTGATACCAATAAAGTACTATATATAAATTAATAAATGCCTTTTATATAGCCTTGCGCTTAAGCGATATGCATACAGGCAATGCGTGAATGCCATGAAAACACAAATTTAGGTTTTTGTGGGCAAAAGGGGAACGTCATGAGTATTGAAAAGTTTTTTGTAAATTAAGGGGCGTAAAAAATAAATTTAAACAGATGATAGTTAGTAATTTGTTAGGCAACCGCCAACCATGTGGTGTGTGTTCCTGATTGTTCCAGTTTGTGGAGTATATATCCACAATCAAGCGTGATTTTTGGCACTTCACTTGATGCACGTAAATTTTAGAGGTTTCGATGCACGTAAAAGCGTAGCCTGCCGGGGACCTATAGTTGACTCATTTTGCTTTAATTTGAATTTGAAGTGTGTATAATTTCACTCGCAATTTCCTGTTATTTTGACAAACACAAGCAGAGCGACTGGCCTCCTTCTGTCCAAACAATGCAGAAAATGTTACTGTGTACGCAATTCATGTAGCAGAATACTGTAGCTAATGGTTAATCGTTGTCCTTTTTCACTCTGTAGGGAATATATTAGCAGGCATGAACGAGACTGTTGAAGGACTTGAAGCATTTGTTGTCTTCATGCATGCTTCGGTATCTGGGCGAATTCTGCCAGAACACTTCAACTTCACGTTTGGCAAGGTCCCAAACTTCATTTGTGTCAATTCGGCAAACAGAGAATTTGAGACATGTTTGCGGCTGGTAGAAATGTTCAGTCACTCGGGTGACTGGATATTGGATGTTAATTTACCCGAAGGTATATATAATACGTTATATATATGTAAATAATATAATACGTTTCCCGCCTGGTACAGTATTGAACATTTATTATCATCTTTGTCAAATCTTTTTCTTGCAGCTGGCGGTGTTGCAGCAGTCACGATCAAACGCAATTGCCTCATTCTGGTAAAAACAGAAGAGGAGGAACGAGAGGCCAGGCGAAAGTTGAAAGAACTTTAGAACCTATAAATCTATATATATATTATATATCTTCATTGTGTGCTGGGTATTCCCGGCTCTACGTGCGAAAACATACAATAACGAAAATTTAATTAAGACAACTTACTTTTTAAATTGTCAGAATATTCCTTTGCAATTTACAAAATATACTTCTAAATTGGTTTCACTTGACCATTGCCCATTCGACTTGCGTAGAGAATATAACCCGAATAATTGTAGATACAATGCACTGCGTAACTCGGACACCCCTATATGTCTCTCGCATTGAGATATAAGGGTTTCCGAAATTCGGACACCCCAATATGTCTCTCACATTGAGATATAAGGGTTTCCGAAATTCGGACACCCCTATATGTCTCTCACATTGAGATATAGGGGTTTCCGAAATTCGGACACCCTTATATGTCTCTCACATTGAGATACAGGGGTTTCCGAAATTCGGACACCCTTATATGTCTTTCACATTGAGATATAGGGGTTTCCGAAATTCGGACACCCCTATATTTCTCTAGAATTGAGATACAGGGGTTTCCGAAATTCGGACACCCTTATATGTCTCTTGTATTGAGAGACAGGGGTTTCCGAAATTCGGACACCCTTATATGTCTCTCACATTGAGATATATAGAGTTTCCGAAATTCGGACACCCCAATATATCTCTCAAATTGAGATATAGGGGTTTCCGAAATTCGGACATCCCGCCTATCTGTTTGAAACCGACTGACAGTGGAATCCTTATACCTCTAAGACAAAAATCCTTTTTATGCGGACAGTGGAGTTGTGTCCGCAAAAAAAGCTATTTTTAAAAAAAAAATTTAAAAATCCGCAGAATTTTGTTAATTTCGCTAATATATGCGGAAAATTACAAGTTTGGAAATGTTCAAAATTCTTTGGAACACGTTATACGATTTACAGGTAGAAACGTTATATAATCTGTATAATATATAATAATTACACTTTCAAGACTCCGGCATTGCATTATATTGCCAAATTAATCCACAAATCTTCAAAGATCATTGGTCGTTGTAACAACTGCCTGTGAGGAATTTCCTTTAACTAAGATTAACACCTTAAGGTGGTACAACACAAGAAGATAATTTCCATATTGATTTATGAAATTTGAAATATTGAAAAAATATGTTGAAGTCGAAATGTCAGATTCACGTGATAAGTTCGCTTCAGCAGTCTTTTCGGGGTTTAGATACACGTCAGAAAAGAAAGAAATTTTTTGCGCAATCCTACCGAAGTTAATTTGAGTATATTGCGGCAAAAACTCTCCCTCTGTTCTACCATAAAACGAAGCTCTCAAACGACTAAAGCATACTTGGCACACTGGTGTCTGTGCTGTTGACTAGACGCTAAAAAACAGATATTAAGTATTTAAGATATAAGAGAAAACATACTCCGAAAATAAACATCTTCTAAACCCAAGATATGAGTTGTTAAAAACAAGACACAATATTCAAGGTGATATTTCGACTCTATTTCAAAGTCATTGTCAAACCTAACTATTTACAAGCAAGCTGCGATCTTTATGCAAATATGTCAGGAAGTAACGATGACGTAAAACAGCGAGTTAATAAGAAATACGAGAACATGGCATCACGAGATATTTGCATGCATATGGTGATACAGTCTAAGGAAAGACTATAAGTTCCTTTGATGCCTTTAAGCCGCTATTGAGTTCTGGCTTTTTAAATTTTATATGCAGTGCCTCGAGGAACAACAACAGATTAGAGTTTGTGTGGTAGACAACAATACTCCAGTCTCTCTACCACAAAACTCTAATTTGTTGTTGTTCCTCGAGGCACTGCATATAAAATTTAAAAAGCCAGAACTCAATAGGGGCTTAAAGGCATCAAAGGAACTTATAGTCTTTCCTTAGACTGTATCACCATATGCATGCAAATATCTCGTGATGCCATGTTCTCGTATTTCTTATTAACTCGCTGTTTTACGTCATCGTTACTTCCTGACATATTTGTATAAAGATCGTAGCTTGCTTGTAAATAGTTAGGTTTGACAATGACTTTGAAATAGAGTCGAAATATCACCTTGAATATTGTGTCTTGTTTTTAACAACTCATATCTTGGGTTTACAAGATGTTTATTTTCGGAGTATGTTTTCTCTTACATTTCGCAAAACTGTCTGCTGGAAAAGGTTTTTAAGTATTTAAGATATTTCGATATTTTCAATTTTATAAATACGCCTTTTTTGGTGTACCACCTTAATAGAAAATATGGTTGGCGCGCCGGTGTAAGATTAAGGCCATAAAATGGTCAATAAAATATTAATATTCCATAATTATATATTAGCACGTAATCCCCAAGCGGGCGCGGAGCGCCTTCGAGGGTACTAAGTACGCTCGGAGATTAAGAATTACACCCGGAACCCGGGAAAACATAGGGGAATCCAAAGTTGTCCAAATTCTATGTCATGGACGGTCGACGTTGGGTGTTTTATTAGTTATGCGCATGCGCGTAATTAACAAACATTCTGATTGACTAAGACAGAAAGTTTATATTTCAATGAGAACGTCAGCAATTTAACCGTCATTTCGTAAAAATTTTTGTAAAAGCGTTTCATAAACTTTGTGCAAAGAAAGTAAAACGAGAAGAAACAGGGGCGCCGGAATATCGATAATAACGGGGGCAGATATTCATATATTCGTGTTCTGCATTATTAACTCCTTTTAAAATCGATTGTTTTTACGATCTGTAAACACGAATATATGAATATCTGCCCCCGTTATTATCGATATTCCGGCGCCCTTGAGAAGTAACAAGATATATGAAGCATGACAGATAGCAAAGATGAACATACATGTAGATACAATCAAGACAAAGCCGTGTAAGAGGATAATTCATAATCTGCAAGCTTATAAATGTTTTCAAAGGGTACATGTTTACTTTGTTTATTTCGTATTTGTTTCGCGGTGTTAAAGAATGAGCTGTATTTGTATACTTTTCAGCTTTGTATGCCGTTTATTTGTTAAATTTTCAACTTTGTATAATTTTCAGCTTTTTATACAAAGGCATAAACCTGTGAAAGTTTATTACACCTTTGCTTCAACTTCAAAAAGTGTTTTTTGAAAGGCGTAATTTGAATTTGGCATCAAAAATACAAACTATATTTATAAAGTATAAAACTTTTAGCCGCGGGCGTCGACTGCAGTTGCAAAATAAAATAAAATTTGAAGTTTTTTCTTTGTCTGTAAAGATTTTGTACTGTTTTATTCCTTTGAAACTTCCATTTTAAACCGTTACTTAATTGCTGGCATGGTATAATGCAGCAAAATATAACGGGCAATGTTTACACTAGCCTTAGGATTATTTTTTTATATTGAATGGGGGGAACATTAGCTATAATATGCTCGATAAATATAATAAGACTGATTTGAGTTTTGTGTCATTTTATAATATAAGTTTAGGTCATGTTAACTCAGGAAACTGTGTACTTGGTTCAAAATGGCGAGGGGTTGCTGCACGCATGTATTTCTAATCTAGTATAATTATCTACTCATGATTACTATGTTTTGGAATTGACTGTTGATCAGTTCTTTTTGACCGCCAGTTTGTAATGTAAATTGTTTTGTTCAATCACATAGGCAAGAATTGTTCCAAAATTTATTATTAAAGCATAGTTAGTTCCAATTGAAACATAGTCAGTATATTAAAACATTTGAAACATATTAAGTACATAGCTAACAACATTGATTTAGATATTTCTGGCTTATATGACAATAAAAACTGGGAGAAAAATTAACCTCGAAAAGCGGGAAAACGTTTTGTAATACCCTCATTTTTAACTGCTTGCGCAAAGAAAATGAGAGGATGAAAATCCAAGTTCATTCAGAGAGGTGAAAGTTTGGACTCTTGTGCAATGTATCACAACCTCGTTTTATTGATGCACAAGCGGTTAAATTTTACAAATCGTCCCCCGCTTTCGAAGTTAATTTTCTGCTATATTTTTTTCTCTCAGCTAAGCCAGAGGATCAGTAAAGTACTTTAACATAAATATATATTTTTGAGATATTTTGATAAAATGATAGTTTTCTGGGCATTTTAAAATCCTGTAGTTTTTTCTGATACACCCTGTATAATCATAAAAAAGGCTGCTGTCGTGCAGGGGCGTAGCCAGCCTGACATTGATTTGGGAATGCTATACAAATTTCAAGTCATTAGAGTTAAAGTGCCCATGTCATAAAATTGGAATTTAGATTTTTAGAATCTTTGTTTGAAATGAGTTAGTAAGTTCTAAATCAAAACTGAAATTGGATTTTTATTTTTCGAGTTATTGCCATCTAAACATTGATTTTGGTGGAATAAAAACTCTGAAAACCGCGCAAATGAGACTGGTGCGAAACAAGGTGTTTGACGTCACAATATAGGAACTCGTTGGCCGCGACAATTTAGTAACTCTATTGCATGGAGTAATAAGTAGAAGCTAACCGCGCAAAAAAGTGGTTGTTCTTACTTAACACACAAGTCTGTATAAAGTGACTCATATTATTATCAAAATGTGTTGTGAAATGGCTTTAATAATTGTACGTTCCTGGCAAAAGTCGTGCAATAATTGCAAATACGCCGTGAGTCATGACCAATTGAGTCACTGTGTTTTAATGTACCGAACCTTTATCTGTTAACTGAAACACTGCAGATAAAGGTTCGGTAAATAACGTCTCAAAAGATGCGAGTGCACAAATTTTAGTAAAGACAGCTAAAGAATGTTGGTAAAAAAGTTGCCATAATAAAAGCGAAATGTACTAGGTTATATTTATATATACACATGATTTGATATGTTTCTTTTGCGCAAGACGTGTTAGATTTTTCAGTTAATATTGATAACTCTCAGTCTCTCATTGAACTATTTTTTTTGAAAGCGCATGGGAACTCCACTCATACTCTAGCTCAGTTGATTTGTAATGAAAATAAACCAGAGAATCACACAGGCATGCGTAACTTAACTACACATAAACACGTTGTAGAAATACCGGCACTCATGAGCCACAGGAAAACCTCAATCATGCTATTAATATAATATTTATATAGGGCAGTAAAATACATTAGGTGTCCGCGTCCGCCTTTTATCTACACTCGGGTGAACTGTATGTGCGCAATTACGAATGACGATCAACTAGGACGAAACTTTAGAATTAAGTTAAGTACAATTGCCAGATTACTACCATAGAATCTATTTGTAATTTGAATACTGTATATCTAGCGTAATGATATTATGTTCTGGGGTCACGGAAAGCAAGTCGCGCAATCAAGATAATGAGAAAACATTTGGTATTTACTGACGCCGACGATCAAGTCTTCGTTGTAGTTTCGATGCCATGATCGTTGCACGATTGCTCCGTTTTGCGATAGCTTTTCAGTTTATCATCGGCATCTGGTTCGTTAATGGACCCTTAATGTATGGTCCGAAGTGTTTTTACTGCCCGACAAGGCTGACATTGACCCGCGTTCATGGTCTTAGCTTTTGTTCTTTCTTAGTATTGCATTGGCAGGAAAACAATTTTAATCGGTGTCATTCCTTTGGTAACTTCTGAATAGCTAAACTTGATGAAGACATATTTCTGCCACGTTTAATAACCGAATTTAGCTGGCATAAAATCGCTTCTCTTGTACTACATACTATCATTTATCTAAAGGCGCAAAATGCGAGTTCCTATTGTGACGTATTACTTACCAGTTTCCGACTGTCGCAGAATTCAAAAACTTTTGCCGTTAAAATTTGAAATTTTCAAACTTTATCGCTTTATTTCTCTGGGAAAACAAACTCAATTTCAAATGTGATTACTATTTTCGTAATCTACGTTTCACGGCGATTCCAATGAGATAAATTCCAATTTTATGACATGGGCACTTTAAATTATTTCGAAATTCATTGTTTTAACAAATAATGAAAACCAAAATATTAGCATGACTAAAATTGTCGGGTTGGTTACGCCAATGTGGTCATGTAATATTTGTTTTCACTCTCATAATCATAATTACACTAAAATATGCACTTCAATTAAACCCAGAACTACGGCAGTGTGGCGTCAATTCTGATTGCGATACCAAAGACGAACCTGTAAATTGCCTGCTGTTAAATCAAACAGTTCGCTGTAAATGCAATGGAAATTTAATTGGAAAAGGAACGCATTGCATAGAACCAGTGAATAGTGAGGAACCTATAATTTATAATTGTTTCCATTGCGGCGACTTTCCGTTTAAAGATGTTATATATATAGTCTTCAGATTATGTCTTGCTTTGTATTTTGTGAAATTGTCAGATGGCATTGGTTTCTTATCTCGCTTGTACGTCTTATTAATTTATTTTGTCATAGACTCATAGTAAGTAAGCGTAACATCGAGTCCCTTTTTATCAGGATATTAAAGTATACTTCATTGTATGAACTGTAATATAAATCGGGACTTGTCTTTCTTCCTTTAATAAAGGCACCGCCACGTCTTCAACAACACCACGTAAACTCCTATTTTTTAATGAAAAAGTAGCTCAGGAAATCAAATCAAACTTGAAATAGCGTTTTCATTGCAATACATTATTTTTCTCTTTTCTTGCAGATCCATGTGGTAATAACCATCTGTATACTCCTGCTACACTTAAAAGTCCTGTTTATCCCAGTTTATACCTTAACTCTATAGACTGCAACTGGATTATTTCTGCCACCAATGGATCAAGGATTCTGTTAACGTTTTCATATTTTTCGGTAGGTTATAATTAGGTAACTCTTACAAAGCTTGACCCCACCGGAATAAAACTTCCGTTTAATGTACTGAAATACGGCCAACAAATTTTATTTTTGTTTTACTTTTAGTCGCAAAGTCAGTCACGTTGTGATTATAATTATTTGGACGTTTATGATGGTGGCTCCTCGTATGCACAAAAACTTGGACGATATTGTGGAGACGAATCAAAACTAAGTCTGACATCATCTGGATCCCACCTCTTTATTGCATTCCACTCGGATGGTATTATACCAAAATTTTTTTTGAATTTCTCAAATACAGTTGGTAAGTTTTACTTACAAATTTAACGCTAATGGCGAACATTGAAAACGCATACATGTATAAACTGTCTGATTTTTTAATAATATAGCGAACTGTGTTCGATCATGCCCGCATCGATTATATCATTCACTAAATAGACAAAGCCATGCTGTTTTCATAGTAACCGGATTTATAAATTTTTTCTTATCTAAAGACGAGTCTGCATCTTTTAGCGTTTCAAAGGCCATTACATGTAACTGCACTATTAGTGTGTTGTCTTAATGCCGTTATATATACGATTTACAGGTAGAAACGTTATATAATCTGTATAATATATAATAATTACACTTTCAAGACTCCGGCATTGCATTATATTGCCAAATTAATCCACAAATCTTCAAAGATCATTGGTCGTTGTAACAACTGCCTGTGAGGAATTTCCTTTAACTAAGATTAACACCTTAAGGTGGTACAACACAAGAAGATAATTTCCATATTGATTTATGAAATTTGAAATATTGAAAAAATATGTTGAAGTCGAAATGTCAGATTCACGTGATAAGTTCGCTTCAGCAGTCTTTTCGGGGTTTAGATACACGTCAGAAAAGAAAGAAATTTTTTGCGCAATCCTACCGAAGTTAATTTGAGTATATTGCGGCAAAAACTCTCCCTCTGTTCTACCATAAAACGAAGCTCTCAAACGACTAAAGCATACTTGGCACACTGGTGTCTGTGCTGTTGACTAGACGCTAAAAAACAGATATTAAGTATTTAAGATATAAGAGAAAACATACTCCGAAAATAAACATCTTCTAAACCCAAGATATGAGTTGTTAAAAACAAGACACAATATTCAAGGTGATATTTCGACTCTATTTCAAAGTCATTGTCAAACCTAACTATTTACAAGCAAGCTGCGATCTTTATGCAAATATGTCAGGAAGTAACGATGACGTAAAACAGCGAGTTAATAAGAAATACGAGAACATGGCATCACGAGATATTTGCATGCATATGGTGATACAGTCTAAGGAAAGACTATAAGTTCCTTTGATGCCTTTAAGCCGCTATTGAGTTCTGGCTTTTTAAATTTTATATGCAGTGCCTCGAGGAACAACAACAGATTAGAGTTTGTGTGGTAGACAACAATACTCCAGTCTCTCTACCACAAAACTCTAATTTGTTGTTGTTCCTCGAGGCACTGCATATAAAATTTAAAAAGCCAGAACTCAATAGGGGCTTAAAGGCATCAAAGGAACTTATAGTCTTTCCTTAGACTGTATCACCATATGCATGCAAATATCTCGTGATGCCATGTTCTCGTATTTCTTATTAACTCGCTGTTTTACGTCATCGTTACTTCCTGACATATTTGTATAAAGATCGTAGCTTGCTTGTAAATAGTTAGGTTTGACAATGACTTTGAAATAGAGTCGAAATATCACCTTGAATATTGTGTCTTGTTTTTAACAACTCATATCTTGGGTTTACAAGATGTTTATTTTCGGAGTATGTTTTCTCTTACATTTCGCAAAACTGTCTGCTGGAAAAGGTTTTTAAGTATTTAAGATATTTCGATATTTTCAATTTTATAAATACGCCTTTTTTGGTGTACCACCTTAATAGAAAATATGGTTGGCGCGCCGGTGTAAGATTAAGGCCATAAAATGATCAATAAAATATTAATATTCCATATATATTAGCACGTAATCCCCAAGCGGGCGCGGAGCGCCTTCGAGGGTACTAAGTACGCTCGGAGATTAAGAATTACACCCGGAACCCGGGAAAACATAGGGGAATCCAAAGTTGTCCAAATTCTATGTCATGGACGGTCGACGTTGGGTGTTTTATTAGTTATGCGCATGCGCGTAATTAACAAACATTCTGATTGACTAAGACAGAAAGTTTATATTTCAATGAGAACGTCAGCAATTTAACCGTCATTTCGTAAAAATTTTTGTAAAAGCGTTTCATAAACTTTGTGCAAAGAAAGTAAAACGAGAAGAAACAGGGGCGCCGGAATATCGATAATAACGGGGGCAGATATTCATATATTCGTGTTCTGCATTATTAACTCCTTTTAAAATCGATTGTTTTTACGATCTGTAAACAGGAATATATGAATATCTGCCCCCGTTATTATCGATATTCCGGCGCCCCTGAGAAGTAACAAGATATATGAAGCATGACAGATAGCAAAGATGAACATACATGTAGATACAATCAAGACAAAGCCGTGTAAGAGGATAATTCATAATCTGCAAGCTTATAAATGTTTTCAAAGGGTACATGTTTACTTTGTTTATTTCGTATTTGTTTCGCGGTGTTAAAGAATGAGCTGTATTTGTATACTTTTCAGCTTTGTATGCCGTTTATTTGTTAAATTTTCAACTTTGTATAATTTTCAGCTTTTTATACAAAGGCATAAACCTGTGAAAGTTTATTACACCTTTGCTTCAACTTCAAAAAGTGTTTTTGAAAGCGTAATTTGAATTTTGGCATCAAAAATACAAACTATATTTATAAAGTATAAAACTTTTAGCCGCGGGCGTCGACTGCAGTTGCAAAATAAAATAAAATTTGAAGTTTTTTCTTTGTCTGTAAAGATTTTGTACTGTTTTATTCCTTTGAAACTTCCATTTTAAACCGTTACTTAATTGCTGGCATGGTATAATGCAGCAAAATATAACGGGCAATGTTTACACTAGCCTTAGGATTATTTTTTTATATTGAATGGGGGGAACATTAGCTATAATATGCTCGATAAATATAATAAGACTGATTTGAGTTTTGTGTCATTTTATAATATAAGTTTAGGTCATGTTAACTCAGGAAACTGTGTACTTGGTTCAAAATGGCGAGGGGTTGCTGCACGCATGTATTTCTAATCTAGTATAATTATCTACTCATGATTACTATGTTTTGGAATTGACTGTTGATCAGTTCTTTTTGACCGCCAGTTTGTAATGTAAATTGTTTTGTTCAATCACATAGGCAAGAATTGTTCCAAAATTTATTATTAAAGCATAGTTAGTTCCAATTGAAACATAGTCAGTATATTAAAACATTTGAAACATATTAAGTACATAGCTAACAACATTGATTTAGATATTTCTGGCTTATATGACAATAAAAACTGGGAGAAAAATTAACCTCGAAAAGCGGGAAAACGTTTCATAATGCCCTCATTTTTAACTGCTTGCGCAAAGAAAATGAGAGGATGAAAATCCAAGTTCATTCAGAGAGGTGAAAGTTTGGACTCTTGTGCAATGTATCACAACCTCGTTTTATTAATGCACAAGCGGTTAAAGTTTTTTACAAATCGTTCCCCCGCTTTTCGAAGTTAATTTTTCTGCTATATTTTTTTCTCTCAGCTAAGCCAGAGGATCAGTAAAGTACTTTAACATAAATATATATTTTTGAGATATTTTGATAAAATGATAGTTTTCTGGGCATTTTAAAATCCTGTAGTTTTTTCAGATACACCCTGTATAATCATGAAAAAGGCTGCTGTCGTGCAGGGGCGTAGCCAGCCTGACACTGATTTGGGAATGCTATACAAATTTCAAGTCATTAGAGTTAAAGTGCCCATGTCATAAAATTGGAATTTAGATTTTTAGAATCTTTGTTTGAAATGAGTTAGTAAGTTCTAAATCAAAACTGAAATTGGATTTTTATTTTTCGAGTTATTGCCATCTAAACATTGATTTTGGTGGAATGAAAACTCTGAAAACCGCGCAAATGAGACTGGTGCGAAACAAGGTGTTTGACGTCACAATAGGAACTCGTTCGACGCGACAATTTAGTAACTCTATGGCATGGAGTAATAAGTAGAAGCTAACCGCGCAAAAAAGTGGTTGTTCTTACTAAACACACAAGTCTGTATAAAGTGACTCATATATTATCAAAATGTGTTGTGAAATGGCTTTAATAATTGTACGTTGCTGGCAAAAGTCGTGCAATAATTGCAAGTACGCCGTGAGTCATGACCAATTGAGTCACTGTGTTTTAATGTACCGAACCTTTATCTGTTAACTGAAACACTGCAGATAAAGGTTCGGTAAATAACGTCTCAAAAGATGCGAGTGCACAAATTTTAGTAAAGACAGCTAAAGAATGTTGGTAAAAAAGATGTCATAATAAAAGCGAAATGTACTAGGTTATATTTATATATACACATGATTTGATATGTTTATTTTGCGCAAGACGTGTTAGATTTTTCAGTTAATATTGATAACTCTCAGTCTCTCATTGAACTATTTTTTTTGAAAGCGCATGGGAACTCCACTCATACTCTAGCTCAGTTGATTTGTAATGAAAATAAACCAGAGAATTACACAGGCATGCGTAACTTAACTACACATAAACACGTTGTAGAAATACCGGCACTCATGAGCCACAGGAAAACCTCAATCATAATGCTATTAATATAATATTTATATAGGGCAGTAAAATACATTAGGTGTCCGCGTCCGCCTTTTATCTACACTCGGGTGAACTGTACGTATGTGCGCAATTACGAATGACGATCAACTAGGACGAAACTTTAGAATTAAGTTAAGTACAATTGCCAGATTACTACCATAGAATCTATTTGTAATTTGAATACTGTATATCTAGCGTAATGATATTATGTTCTGGGGTCACGGAAAGCAAGTCGCGCAATCAAGATAATAAGAAAACATTTGCTATTTACTGACGCCGACGATCAAGTCTTCGTTGTAGTTTCGATGCCATGATCGTTGCACGATTGCTCCGTTTTGCGATAGCTTTTCAGTTTATCATCGGCATCTGGTTCATTAATGGACCCTTAATGTATGGTCCGAAGTGTTCTTACTGCCCGACAAGGCTGACATTGACCCGCGTTCATGGTCTTAGCTTTTGTTCTTTCTTAGTATTGCATTGGCAGGAAAACAATTTTAATCGGTGTCATTCCTTTGGTAACTTCTGAATAGCTAAACTTGATGAAGACATATTTCTGCCACGTTTAATAACCGAATTTAGCTGGCATAAAATCGCTTCTCTTGTACTACATACTATCATTTATCTAAAGGCGCAAAATGCGAGTTCCTATTGTGACGTATTAGTTACCAGTTTCCGACTGTCGCGGAATTCAAAAACTTTTGCCGTTAAAATTTGAAATTTTCAAACTTTATCGCTTTATTTCTCTGGGAAAACAAACTCAATTTCAAATGTGATTACTATTTTCGTAATCTACGTTTCACGGCGATTCCAATGAGATAAATTCCAATTTTATGACATGGGCACTTTAAATTATTTCGAAATTCATTGTTTTAACAAATAATGAAAACCAAAATATTAGCATGACTAAAATTGTCGGGTTGGTTACGCCAATGTGGTCATGTAATATTTGTTTTCACTCTCATAATCATAATTACACTAAAATATGCACTTCAATTAAACCCAGAACTACGGCAGTGTGGCGTCAATTCTGATTGCGATACCAAAGACGATCCTGTAAATTGCCTGCTGCTAAATCAAACAGTTCGCTGTAAATGCAATGGAAATTTAATTGGAAAAGGAACGCATTGCATAGAACCAGTGAATAGTGAGGAACCTATAATTTATAATTGTTTCGATTGCGGCCTTAGTCTGAAAAAAATCAAGTTCATGTTAAAGAAAATTTTCCATGTTGTGTTTAAGACGAAGTTTACAACTAGAATAATTATAGGAATAAAAATTTAAATCCATGCCCCTGTAACAACATGGTGTTGCCACCAAGTGAATTCGAATTAGAAAACTCCATTGCAGTTACATATAACTGTTCTCAATTTTAAATAGTAAAGTAATTATACTGCCCAAATTAAGAAATATTCAGGAAAAACTAAGACGCCTTTAAAATTATTCCAAGAGTTTGTAATTTGTGAAATATTCTTGGAGACTCGTCGCAAATCGCAGGGCAATAATCTGTAATCCATTTTGACTGACACTGCACGCATCTGCCAGTTTTTGTTATACCGGTGCCATGCAATCAGAGTTGCCAGAATTTTGAAAGCCAAACTCAATGGCAATGGCAATGGCCTATGGTCACAATGCCACTTTGTTTTCTTTGTATTTGCCTTTTGTTTTCTTTGTTTTCTTGGCCGTACTAATGATAATTTGCATCGAATATTCACATATCTGGTAACCCTGATACCAATATTTAAGATTAATGCGATTTACTGTCAATTTGCCTAAAATCAGAATTAGCACGTATATCTCCATTCCGAATTTTGAACAATACTGAAAAATTGGGAAAAAAGGTGCAGGACCAAAATACAGTCAAAGTGTACATGTTAATTTTTGGTCGGTCTATTTTAGATATTTTAAATGCGTTCAGCAGTGAAGACAATACAACTAAAGTGGTTTTCGCTGTCGTTGTTCCAACTTTCGTTTTACTTGCCGGGCTTCTCATTGCTTACCGGCTTTACCAAAAACGAAGAAACGCACGGCGACAAGAAGTATTCAATATCCCTATACACGAGGTTAGTTTTATTTACCTATTCTCTATTTTATGTTCACAACACGAGCGGCCGTGTTGCATGGAATATTACAAGTGGACGGCCGCGGGTGTTGTAAACAACTTGTGGAATAGATTCAAGATGGATTTTTTTCAAGATGGAAATTCAAGATGAAATCAAAAGGATTGGAATAAATATGGAAATATGTTAAAAACACTATTGGTTGTCCATTGTATTTTTCCGATACAACCACTCGTGTTTGTAACTGATATGCACATTTATTCAAACTAATATCTATGGGTATACAGGGTGTGCATGTGACCTAATTCACGAAATTTGTCTTATGAATTCACAAACAATATTAGTAATTGAATGCAATATGGATCATCTAGTTACAACGAGAATTTTCAGGCAATGGTTGTCCTCACTTCCCCCAGTTTTTCCACAATAGCTATCGGAAACTTTTACCCCACAATAAAGACAAATTATAGTAGTCCTAATAAAATCATAATGATATATTTCAATCAGATTACAATTATTGAGATGATGCAAAGAAATGATTTCAATAACAACTAGAATAAGCGTAACTATAGACTTGGCATTTTCAATTAAACCAAATTAGTATTTGAAAACTATTTTCCTTAATAATCCGCATGAAATATGAATAAAACACACATAGGGGTACAATAGATTTTTGTGAGATAGGAGAATTAAAAGCTATCTCAGTTGGCCTATCTGATATAATCTTTATTATAATTTTTGGCTATATTCTCAATAGTTAAACAAAGCACGAAAAGCCTCTAAAGATAACATGGACATTGTATTTCCTGAACACCCAAAGGACGTGGACAGTTCCCCAAAGAGAAGATTACCATCCATTCACGAACATAATAGTAAAGAAGAAAAACAGGAAGAAGGCAAGTATATAGTGAAGAATATTGAAATATACTATTATGTCTCAAACAGGAAACTAAGCAACATTCCACAAAATTGCACCTCTAGCTTCCGAGTTTCTAGTTGACTTAAAATTATAAAAAAGACAAAGCTTCAGACTACATCATTGTTCCGAGGAACTAGTGCTGTTTAGATAGTCCCTATGATAACATTGTTATAATTCGGGGCTTATGCTTCTCGCTACTCATGGCCAATTTTAATGGACACAATTTTTAAATGTGTAAATGCAAGTTCTAAAAAACAAGTCGGTAAAATGTCGCAATGAAATGATTCCACATTTCTAGAAATCATGTCTTATATTTGTGTCTTGGACGACTGGGAAATCAAAAAGAATGATCTGACGATTCTAAATAAAAAGTTAGGTGGAGGATGTTTTGGTGTTGTAAAGAAAGGACTGTTCACAAAGAAAAAGAATGATGAGGAACTTGTGGCTGTTAAAATGCTAAAAGGTAGCTGTGCAGTTTAATCATGTTATAAAGTTTTTTTTACAGTCAAGGTGGTACACCACAAAGAGGTCATTTGCATAACATACTTTAACATACTTAATATCTCTTTTTTAAAGTCCAGTTGACAGAACATACATCAGTGTGCCCAGTACGCTTTAGTTGTTTTAAAGCTTAGTTTTATTGTACAACTGATGGAGAGTTTTTGACGCAATATATTGAAATAAAATTCGGTACGATTGTGCGAAAAAATCTTTCTTTTCGGACGTGTATCTAAACTCCGAAACGACTGCTGAAGCCAACTTAGCACGTGAAAGTCTGAGCTGTGAAATAGAAATAGAACCATCATACATTTCTAGTGCAACATATTTTAATATTTCTAATTTTACAATTATTATGCAAATGATATTTTTGTGGTGTAACAGCTGAGGTTGCTTGCTTCGAGCAAAAGGAGCTCAGATTTCCCATTCCAAATTAATAAATGTGAATGTAGGCCCTCATCGGATAGTACAATGGACATGGCACAGTGACGGAGGAAGATCATTAAGTGGGAGCGGGGCTAATATTCATACAATCATTTCAGTAGAATACAAACTAATAATGCTGAATGTGAATCAATTACGAGTACCCCCTCCCCCCCCCAGACACACTTAACGATCTTCCGCCACCCTTATAGTAACTATGTTTGGAAAAATAGGAATCAGACTGAATTTTCTAAGATCCAAAAATGGGGAAAAACGACGATACTGGCGTCGATATCAACGTCCGAAAGTCGACTTTCAGATTTATTTTTAGTCGATTCCAAATTAGAACCCTAATCCAGAAACGCTTAGCTTCCGAGGAAGACTCTAGCTCGTACTGAGTAAGACTCTTCGCGGCTAGTGTGATGTATCAATTCTTTCCATTGATGCATGGTTCGGTACCGCAATCTGCCTTAGGAAAATACCCAACCTTCCATGCTTCACAGGTAGGCCTTTCCGTGGAGCAGCTAAGATACGAATATAAAGGTGCTGACATCAGCACTTGCACTCTCCCCGTACACTGGAGACGAAAATCTTGGAATAGGAATATTTATAATACTATTTTCATACACTTCTAAGACGAACCATCGGCGGCAGACCGCTCGGATCTCTTAATGGAGCTATTTATTTTGAAAGAAGTCAACAGAACTCCACATCCAAATGTCATAAGACTTATTGGAGCATATACCATCGCAGGTATTTCATTGAAAAAACTGAATACTGTCAAATATAGTACTAGTTTAAAATTTTTTTCACCTTTTCTTACCCCTGACTAGCAAATTATCCAACGTAAATCTGTTTTTACTGCAAATTTCTATTTTTGAAAAATAATAATATGATAATAATTATAGTAAATAACGGCTAATCCTATTGCAAATTATGATTTCAACGTCATGAAGATGAGCTTTGTCTTTGTTATGTAGAACCTATCCTGGTACTAACCGAGTTTTGCTCACGTGGAAATCTGCAGTATCTACTAAAAAATAGTCGAGTGTCAGTGACTGATGACAATAACGAGGACATATCACAATACAAAAATGTTTTTTCAACATTAAGCCACAGAAAACTACTTCAGATTGCTGTTGATATAGCATGTGGAATGAAACATTTGGCTGCAAATCAGGTAAGAGTTTGTAATAAACATTCGTTCATTCCAAGCAAGGTCACAATTTGACTTTCACCCTTCCGTGGCCTCCCCAAGCACCCCTGCGCGCTCGCACATCTCAGCCACAGATCTCTATATTACGTTGAATGCAGCCTTTACGTTTTCCAATAAAGCGCCTGGGTACGAGGCTGGTTCAGCCATACGAAGCCTTTAGTATACATATTTGAACCCAATCAGTTGGCCGAATGTAGAAATATCCAAGAAAAGTATTTCTATTACCAAAACGTTGACCAAATAAATGACGGATTTCAATTCATTACTAATAATTACTTGGTGCAATTAGTTTGTTCATAGGGATCTCGCAGCAAGGAACATTCTCATTTCAGCCAACTATGAGGCGAAAGTGTCAGATTTCGGTTTGGCCAGGCCAATCACTGGGGTCGAACAAATGTATATCAAGTCAAACAGAGTACGTAATGTTAGCATCGTTGTTTGTTTGACTATTGATTGTGATTCATAACCGGGTTTTTCTAAACGGAGATCTCGCCTATGAAACTTGCATGGGGTTGAGCATGAAACGCCTTTATACTCTAGTAACGTTTTTCAGGCTTTTGGTATGCAATGTATACAGTCAAATTTTTAGTTTTCTGTTCAAATTTTTATTTTTAGAATTTATTACCTGTGAAATGGATGGCAGTTGAATCACTTACACGAGGAATATTTCGAACTTCAAGTGATGTGTGAGTATTCTTCTTTAAATATCGACCATACGGAGAGCGATAAAGGACTGGTAATAGCGAGTGTATTAGTGCATAATAAGGTTTTTTTAAATATGCCTCTAGTCTACGTCATCAGGAACAATCAAATTGTTGAATGGACTACTACAATTCCTTGCTCATCTGCATGCAACATGGAAATAGGCGACAACTGTTCCCATGCAGTACTGTTTCCACAACTTATTGCTGTTATTTAATAGTCACAGCGCACCAACTCTAGAAAGCTATCAGCACTCATACATTGGTCTAAAACCAGCCTAATCCATCGACGATGGTCGATCAGAAACCGGTCTGTACGTGGGTGGAATATGGTTTATATTATTCTTCACAAAGCGAACATGCGAATATTTGACAGTATTCTGTCATTGCTTCTTTAAATAGTAATTATATCATTTCCTAGTCGTGTAGACAGCTGTCGTTGTTTTCCTATCGCATGACTCTTCTAACGTTACTCAGAGCTTGACCGTGAGCTACAAAACTCTGGTGTATTATATGACAAACCTTTTTTTTTCTCCTTTTTATTTTTTCTAAAGGTGGGCATACGGTATTGTACTCTGGGAAATCACAACATTAGGTATACCATGTTTATTACATATTAATTTATAGGGTGACTCGTGTACACAACATGACACGTACACCACGTCGAATTGCGCGAAGAATTACTGAATTTTTGGAAAACAGTCATGATGCTGTCTGATCTATGATGACTATCCACAACAACGTAATGATTCGCAAATGCGGTTTGAAAAGAGTTCAAACTGAAGTCTTGGTCAAATAACTGGCGTAATAAGATTGAGAGTTTGGGGAGTTAGTACTTGTTATTGATTCTTTTCTATATGGAAACTTTTTCAGGAAGGGAGCCGTACCCCGATATCTCCCCATTCGATACATTCACCTTTGTCACTTCAGGAAATCGTATGGAGAGACCTCCTCATTGCTCAGAAGAACTGTAAGTTGCAATTTTTGTAGGTTTATATGTTCGATATTTATAATTTTTTAGTTTAACTTTTTAATTTCCAATCATTTACTAGCAAATGTCAATTGAACGCCAAAACGACACCTTTTCGACAACCACTTATGTACTTCGGTCTAGAAGATTCTCTAAAACTTTTTTTAAAAAAGCTTGTTAATCTTGCATGCAAGAACATATAGACAGCTGAGATGAACTTCAAATGGGCATGATTCTTTCACATCCCGGTGTTGTGGCTTGAGTCGTGAATACGGCATTCTTACCAAGTATAAATTATTACGGTAGCGTATAGGATAGGCTGTATAGCTAATGAGCTAACAGTGTGTAGTATAATCGCTAACAATTCCACTCTAATACATTTCAAGGTATGGCATAATGAGAAAATGTTGGGAAAACGATCAGAAAGACAGGCCATCCTTTGAAGAAGTCCATGAAGAAGTCAAGGAAATGTTGGATGAGACGGATGACGTAAGACACATATTTCTAATTAAACTTCGTTTTTCAGTTTTCTTTGAAAGGAATTAGCTATGTATTATTGTACTCAAACTGCACCTTTATACTCTTATATCAATGCAGATCACTCATACAATTAGTTGGTCAGAAAGAATGTTTCTAATTATGTCCTGGATTGATAATTATTTGTCTAACATGATATGGTCTTTATTGAGATTTTTATATTAAACTATTATTTTTTGTCTAAAGAATCACGGGGTGCATTTATATACATTATTATATGACACGCGGTCTCGTGACTAAAATGGCGTGCGCTGATTGGTTCTTTGCCGGTCTCGAATCCCCCAGTATCAGACCGTTGCCGTAGTAACGGTCCGACGCTCATATTTTTGAACAAAAACAAGCTTGCACTTTCATTTTTGACACGAAAAATATCGACGGAGAATGGACGAAGAAGGGCATTATTTGGTACATGTGAATATCATATTAATTTTATTCATCTTTGATTTTTGTTTATATTACTCTATCATTCTTATTTAACAAGTAAAAAACAAAGTTTGGGAAGCCACTGAACAGTGCTTGCTTGGTGACTGGCTGGCGAAAGAGCCGGCAAGAATGCTGCAGCGCATTGTATAAATAAATAAACTAAATACTGTATGCCATATAACAAAGTCCCTTATTAACCGAATACGTTCGGTCCGTACTGGAAAAATATCCGATCTCGGTCTTTCATGTACGGACCTCGCTATCTCTCAGTCCGCACTGTCAAGACCTCGGCCTGATATTTTTCTAGTATGGACCTCAAATTCGGTTAATACGTGGTATGTATTTAATATTACACACGTGTAAAAGCAAATAGAATTCTGTTTCATCTATATTCATGCATAATATAATTTCATTTTTATCCAGCGAATGTATATAAATGTGGTTCAGATGACGAGGAAAGTCGCAAAGAATTGAAAGTTCTAGAAGATCGCAGGATCAATGTTGAAAGTATGAAAGACGTACGTTATACCGAAGGATAGAAGAAATTACAAGATATTTTAGTATAATCGTACTTGTTTGAAGGATGGATCGACCCATATAATTGGTTTTCAGATCATTAATTCTATAATACTGAATTAAAGGACTTATATTCGCCAAAGTGTATAAATATATATGTTTCCTTATCTATATATAATGCAATTTTATTTTGTGAAAGCAGTGAGGAAATCTGGGTGTCGAAAACTGGAATATAGCTTATCTTCAGTGTAAAAAATAAATGCAATTTTTAAGATTAACGTCAAACTGTAGCTACTGTGTAACTTGTATCATGTTGTTTTGTTTTGGATATAATTATATTTTACCACGCATATTGTAGTATATACACATTAGTATACGGGTATGTTTTATGTATAACCCCAAGAAAGAGTTGTATTATAATTAACACGAACCTTAAATATAGTCTGTTGTCATGTCTAGCGAAACCAATTCCGTCTAAACGGGGATTTCGTCCCTGTTTACACTACAGATATCCAATTCGCTTAACATACACATTTCGTTTTCCTTAAATTAGGAAGCAATGACTTGTTTGTAGCAAATGGTTTCTTAATATGATAGATCCGACATTTTTCAATCTGTGACAAAAAAATTTTCACTGCCTTTGCTACTAAATTTAGCCTGCTTCGAAAGCAATTTAGTATAGTGTAAACTGTGCCTCGCCGCCTTTGAAATGCAATTAACATTGTTTGTCAAGAATCGCGCCCCCTCGTTATTAAAGAACTTTTAATGTTCGTATACTTCCCACGATCAATAAATTGATAAAGGATCTCTTCTTCGCAAGATATATGTCTACATGCAGGATGTGTACGTCAGAAATTTAACGTAGTGTTTAAAAGCTAAGCATACAAGCCTTGCCCTAAGAAGTTGGCTCGTCACAAGCGCACAAAAACCTTTGTTTTCGGAAAATGATGCAATGGATTCCCCGTTCTTAAATTTTGAATCAGACCTTGCTTTATGTGCGTATATATGAATTCTTTTCATTGCGAAAAGTGAATTTTTCGAAAGATCTACTAAATTTATAAAGGGTCTAGCTTGTCAGCCCAATAGATTTTAACCGAGCGGAATCCAGTATGAATCATGCAATAGTAGAAACCTAGGATTTAAAGAAAAAAAAAGCGCCGCGCGGACGTTTCCTTTTATACTCATTGCTGAGTCAATACGTATACATGCAGCTAATTCGAAAAAGATTGCCTTCTGTGAATTGTGAACCCATGCAATAAAGATTTTCGGGTTTAAACGTCTTAAACACCAATTTCTGCGGTGTCATTCCGAGTCTTGATATACTGTCGTAATTAAGACCTGCGAAGCTAAATTTCTTCCACTGTAAATTATCTCTTGATACGAAAAATATACATCTTAAATAATCTCGGGAATTTAATCGTCTTTGATATTTATAGGCGTAGTTCTCGTATATCGCGCAATCATCGGTGATCGCTATCGTATCGATCAGCAATAACTGACGACGAATGACGTGTTATAGCTTATAAATTATTGGCATCAGGATGTAATATTTTTGAACAATCGTAAGATAACGAGAATTCTAACATTACAAACACTATTGTATGGGATTTCGGAGCTGCTGGAGTGAACGTTTTATACGTCTTCCTATTATGATAAATAGCGGTAAGATTCATTGTAAAACCGCATGTTGTGATTATTGTTATTGGTTGACAAAATTCGACGTCTTTACGTCTGCGCCTCTTATGTGTCTTATTTGAATCAGGCGAGAAAGTTTTTCTAGACACATCGTGAACTATCCTTAGATCCGGAGCTTCATACGAGCGAGAAAAGTTCTGCGTTAAGTTACTGTTACCAACTTCATGAAAGTATTCGTTCGGACAGGAGATTGCGCTCAGGTTAAAACAAAATTATATGTATATTTTAAACTTTCGAGAGATTTAATGTCATCGAAATTTGTCAAATGCAAATTTGAGAGCATGCACAGTAAATCGATCATGATTTTATTTTATACAACACCTTGTTGCTTTTGATCACACACACAGTTGTTTTTGATCATATATGCAGTATCAAATAAAAATTTCCATTTTACTGAACGTAAAATGGAAATTTCCATTGCAATCATTCTTGTTCCCAGTATATAGACCATTTGCACATGACGTCGCATTAGGTATCTGGGGAAAAAATTAACGTAAATAAATTTTGCAAAAACGTAAAATTTTGTACAAAATACACAGAAATATCTACTAGTGTGAGGAAATTTGCTTTTTTATTAACTGCTTTTGACCGCTAAATAAACATTCACGGCTTGCATAACGATTTTTTTTTTTGAAACATGCATGGAAACATCTGGAGGACAACTTTTAATGATTCTGACGTCAGTGCATTGGCTGCATGCATGAACCTGTAAGATCCCTTTAAAGCGACCGTCAACGGTAACGCGCAATATATGTCTATATATATATAATCACCTTAAGTCTGTATCTCAATCATCTGCCACCGACCGTCGGTGATATATGAGAAAATCGCTTTTACATGCACTCAATTTTTTATCAGCACGGCACCACTGAGCTATAATATGGGTGGAGAGAGCAACCATAGATACAGAAATTGAAGCCGGAATTTGCTGCGGCTGCCATCTTACTGTGACCACCTTGAGGGGTGAACTATATGGAAAATGTGATATTTTCCGCCGTTTTTGTCTTGTTAATGCGAGGTAGAGGACTAAATCAAATCAAACATACCATTTCAAACAGCGGAAAATATCACATTTTCCCTATAGTTCACCCCTCAAGGTGGTCACAGATGGCAGCCGCAGCAAATTCAAGCTTCAAATTGCTGTATCTATGGTTGCTCTCTCCATTTATATTATAGCTCAGGCACGGCACACTGGCACAGCTAAATTTGGTGCCCGTGCCCCGTTTTTTAGTGAGCGGGCTACCAATACGAAAGGTGGAGAACGGATGAAATTGTTACGGGTACCCATGCATTTTAGCCGTGGCGTCCAGATCAAAAACTGAGTGTAGCGTAAACTGGGCTGAAGCGTCTAGCCCGAATTACCAGTTGTAGGAAAACGCTATACACCTCATAGTATTTTCTATTGCCCTAAAATTGCTCGTTGTTTGATAATTGATATTGAAAATCCGTCATCAAGTCCCGGCGGAAATATAAGTATTTAATTTTACACAGTACCGTTCACTTTTTGATTTCTAAACTTGCCGAGGGTTGACCTGTTTTGTTAAATTTGGCCAATTTTTGTGCCCTTTTCCGCCGTTAATCTCAGTGTGAACGCAGGGCCGACATGATTTCATATCATCTTCGAATGACAGCGGTGACAAGACTGTCAATGTTTGTCAAACTAGGATGTATATAAAATGCTGGAAACATTAACTTCCTCCCACACAAATGCGTCATGCTATTATTATGCATAGGGCACTGTATAATTTTACGTTTCATTGACTTTCTCCTCACAACTTCAAATGTGGGTCATTGTATGTTATGACCTCGCATACGTTTTTAGCAATGTTTTCATAAACGAAAGATCACTAAACTTGGTATATTAAAGATATATGTTTCAAAACAAATTTTGTCTGAAATAAACTGAACCACTATAAAACTGAACCACTCGCACTAGGAGGAAGTGTTGGTGATATTTGAAGGTAAATGTTTACTTGGTATATATTCGTTCGTAAGAAGACAATATCATTTTTATATCAGCATTATATGCTTGTGAAATCTTGTTACGAAATATCGCCACAAGTCATCATTAATTCTGTAATGATCTGGCCTTTGGTAAACATTAAATTATTAAACCTCTGTGCTAGATTTTTAACTATGACTAGAGATTTTCTTGTACAATATTGGCCAGTGAATCTCGTTGTGTATATGTACTAGGGCAGTTGGCTTAATTGCACTTTATATTTTAGCACTTCCTGGCGAATGTCTTATTAACGCGCAAGGGAAGTTAAATGGGTTGAACGGCTGTCTATATGCAGCGTTAATAATATACATACATAGTTAAATAAATAACAAATCTGCGATATTATATGTCGCATTGAGTGTGTGTCAAAAATGGGACCTGATGGATGTCACGGCTATAACGAGATTCCGTGGCTTTACCGAATTAAGGTTTTTCTTACCATTTTTTTGGGCAATATCTTCAAATTTTGACATGATCCTGCGTCGATGACGAATCAGTAATGCTCGTGTAGCATCGAGTGCACGACTAACGCGTCTATATCATGACACAGACGTAAACACCATGTCAAAATGTTAAACTGCCATAAATCAAGATGACGTATTGAATTTCAATACGTATATTCAACAGAAACGCAACGGGGCCTTGACTTAAAGGAAACCGGTTACCCATAAAGCGACAAGGCGAAATATGTCTCCAGATAACATACCCAAAAACACTTTGTGAAGCAGCGCATATTAAAACGGTCTCTCTGAGTTACACAGGTCAGATACAAAATATAACGACTTTTTATTTATATATTTATATAAATATCTATTCTTTTTAGCTATATTTAAGGTAAACTCAACTTTGTAATACTAATCGTAAACTGTAAAGTTATATTATATTCTTTAGCATAAAACGGGAGATAACAAAGCTGGAGCAATCAGCTTCTTGTTATTAATCTCTTAAGGATGTCCGAATATATTAGCTATATTAATACCAGATTACTGGCAAATCCTCATGCGCAAGAAAATGCTAAAAAATCTAACTAAAATACATTTATTACCAAGCTTATACCTCAGGCTATATATCAGCTTAGGCTATATAATTATAGCGGAGCCAATTTATATTAAAAAGTTAGGGTATATAGCCTATATACATATAATGTATTTTTTATGTTGTTTCCTTATTACATATAGCTATATAGCCGAGAGTTTTTTTTAAATTTACTTGCGTGCGTGCATGCATGCGTACCAACCTTATAAAAAACGGTAGCTACGTGGGATAAAATGGGAAATTATCATTACAAACTTTTTCTCTCTATATTGTATTTGTAATGTGTGTAATGTTAGAAACATATATATCAATTTTATGGCTGTCTGAATAAACATCCTGCACAATCTTAAAACACATGAACAATATAACATTGGCACGCGGCGAGGAAAGGCCAAATATCATCGCAGCGCATTAAAGCAAGACGTCTGAAACAGACCTTATATAGACATACACTTACTCAAAGCTATAATTTTATCATTTGGGAGGAAAACTTATTAACTACTTGCAACGTGTATACAACATGAAGTACCGATAAAAAAGGCAGTAGTTATTGTATAAGCAAATAAATTCAATTCTAAGTCAAGATGTACTGTCATGTATTCAGTAATTACGAACACTGTCAAAGTTTTTCCCGCTTTAGAAAACTGAAAAATTCATAAAAATCGCGTTGCCTGTACTGATCATGTCTACCGGTGTGTGTGGCCTTGAGTGTGATGAAGCTGTTCAACGTTATACGCATGCAGATATCACAAGATTTTCGTGGCTATGATTATTTACATATAGTTTGATATTTGTATAATTATATATTATATGTGTAGGCTACATGTTAAATTCAACACATCAGTGCGAAATTGTTCTTGAAAAAAGCAATCCTATATCACTTTTTATTATATTAATAAGTTAGTTATAATAATAACTGAAAAAGTTAGGACACTTCTAGAACCCGCCATTTCCGACGGGTTAGGCTGGACGAAACGTCGGAGCGGAAGCGTATAGATGACTGGGCATTAGTTTCGTCAACACATTGAAGTGCCTTGTCTGGCGTTTTTCAAATATATAATTCAAATTATTAAGAATTTATGCTACGATTATGACGTGTACTTCATGTTGTACTGATATGAAAGTACCCTTTCTCGGAAGTCTATTTTGGATAATACAGTTTCTACTTTATCATAATCACACCGGGGACGAATATAAGCAATATTTTTATGTAGGCCGCATTTTAATGATCCGTAAAAACCAAGGTTTCCACAATTGAAGGAAATTCCTTCGAAATGACATGAGGGGGAGAGGGATCAGATAATTAAGCATTCTTTTCAAAAGTTCTTTGCCTCTCTCTTTTGTCATTGCTACCCCCCTATGAGGACAGTTATATGAGTTAGTTGTGAAAACCCTCAAACTACATGCACTACAGGTTGTATAAAAAACTGACTCTCCTAACGAAGGCGCTCAGGTCGGAACGTCAAGAAGTGTTTTTGTCTATATCAAGGCAGTTTTTGTACCACATTTGATGCTAATGTATAAAAAAGGCTGCAATAAGATAATATCATAAGACCTTATAGGCCCCGGGGGAATTATTGCGATTTTTTATACACCCTGTGTATTTCAAAAAACAGCACACGCATGTTTAATACACCCTTTGTATTTCAAAAAACAGCACAATTAATTCCCAGTTTTAAAAATAATATAAGATAATTCATTAGATAGCCGCCCACGTTCGATGTACTGGTAGGCGTTCTATAATTGAGTAGACAATATAGATATAGCTAACTCGTTATGTTTATATTGTCGATTTCTAAGGGAGGCTTGAAGCAAATTTTATAAAACGAAGAAAAAGGCTCGTCATACATAAGCAATTACATTCCCTTGACGCTATATATTTCGCACTTATATACTGAAATTTTTAATTTTAACATGCTTCATTTTTCCTAATTACCAACCAGATATAGGCGACTTCATAGCTGAAAGCAGGACTATTTTCCATTTAGTTGACATGGGGGTGGAACATTGGACTACGCTTTTTGTCGTTGTTACAATTCTATTTCCCAAAGGCGTACAGATGTGCGTAAGAAATCCAGGTGCGTGCCAGTTTTAAAAATATACAATATAATTATTTAATACTTTTTTTTTCTTGCATGCAAACATAAAATCAAAATAACACTTTAAGGATTTATGAATTTACCTCTGCTGCTGTTCTCGAAGCATGTATGTATAGTATGTATGAAAAAATTGTATACTAATCATTATGTAAGCTAAAATTGTGCTAATCAAATTCTTCCAAGGAGAATGCCGTTTTGTGTCACATTGCCTGAATCTGGTTAGGATAGTTTTCAGTACTGGCGCCAGCCTAGTACAAAAATCATCATTTTTTCTCTACTGGGTCTGCAGGATCGTAAAACCCAGAGGGCCTAATCACTCTGACAATGAAGAATCAAATTCTGTTTAGAAATAATTTCACAAATATTTCCTTCATCATGGTCAGTAGAGTGGCCAGCCTAAGGATATAAATTATATTTGGTGCTAATATTTTGGTATTCATTGACTGTGAAAATAATAAATTTCTAAACAGGGCCGTAGCTAGAAGCTTAATTGGGGGGCGTTATATTCATAAACTCATCTTATTTCCGACTGATTTTTTTGTTCGCTAATGTTCTTGCTGTAGAAAGGCATGAATATATGAATTTAGTATTTTTGCAACTGTGAATATAACAAATCTTACATATTGATTGGTCAAGTTTGACGTGTTATGCTGTCAGTTATATTCACCTTCGGGGGCCAGTTGTTCAAAAGACGTTTAACTTAACCCAGGGTTAACGCAAATTTTTACATCAACTTCTTTCATCGCTTGTTTATAAAAGTTTAATATTTATAAAAGGTATTTTCTGGTTAAATAGAAGTGATATTTTCTAACGTTTTAAAGCGAACAATGGTTCGTAAGCACATAAACTAAAACAATGGATTTAAAAATTAACCCACGGTTAGCGATAACCGAGCTTTAAACAACCGGCGCAAGGTATATAGCAAAACCGAAATTGCAAAATCGCGGCTAGCCGTTTTGTGGACGTTTCTTACAAAGAGATAAACGAACAAATGCAGTTCTTGTGTCAATTTACTTGTGCGAAAATACTAAAACAATTATTCGTCTTACGCTTAGCGATTATGGGGGAATAGTCCCCGATAATCACCATGTATTCGGCGAATAATTGTTAAATACACCCCCCCTCCCCCCAACTAAGCTGGCTAGCTACGGTCCTGTTTCTAGAACTAAAATAGCGGCACAAAATCTTCATGTTGGCTAAGCCACTGATCATGATAACGTGATTATAACCATGAATGGTATCATTTATGATATTTTATTCCCAACCAGGTGGAGTTATTTGCCTTAATTCACTTTGATTGACCCTAGACCATGATTTCTACAACTTTATTCAAATTTATAACACCTGTACGTTTGTTTTCTAGCCTGCGGTTTTCCCTCGCAGTTTCCAATGGTTACGATTACAGGAAGTACAACTTATTCGCCCCCTGATCCTATAACACTGGAATGCAAGACATCTTCAGATGTGAAAAACATTCGTTGGGACAGATTGAACCGTGCTGGTGAAACAAAAATGCTGAATAGTACACATTTTAATCGCTCTGCCTCTGGTCTCGGCCGGCTAGCTACATTGAAAGACACCCCTTCGCCTTCAGTAGAAAATTTTCCATATTCTTATCGATGTGTTGCAATCACAAAATGCTGCGTGAAATTCAATTCAAATTCTGTTACGGTGAATTTAATGCAACCTACTACAGCAACACCAACGACGAATAGTAAGTTACAAAATAGGATATAATAAAAAAATGCACGATTTTCATTCTTGCAGTATTTTTCTTAGATTTTTTTATAGTAGGTTATAGGTTAAGGTTAGAAAGAAGCCTTCAAAAACAAAGAAATATTTCTTAATACCATGCAATCCATCAGGGTTTCGTTTGCATGTCTCTTTGCAACATTATACCGTTTGGACGTTTGGTTTTGGTATACATGCAGCAATGCTTCTTTGAACTGGGTTATACGTCTCATTTTGGTCGCCGTCCAATTCAATTCAAGCAATGGATAGTTAAGCTTCATTACCATTTCATTATCTATTGTTCGACTTGCATTCGACGCGACCAAAATGCGTCTTTTATCCTGGGCCTTTATTTATTGTTAGCATGATTAAATCACTGGACGCGGATGTGTTGAGAAGAGTGAAGTTATATTTTAATAAAAATTGCACTGTACACAGTAGAAACAGTTAATGATTTTCCTACAATAAACAAAATTGTCGAAATTATTAATTTTTTCTGCAAGCTAGGCAGTCATGTAATCAGCACAGAATCGTAGCCAGACCGCTTAACTATCGTGGGGGGGGGAGGGAGGGGGGATGGTTGTATTCAGTAAAATATATTCCTGCATGTTTGAATATCATAGGATAATAGTGTACGAAATAAATCAGTCGAGCAAAAGAGGAGTAAAATTATACGAATAAGCACTCCCTCAATTAGGCTTCCAGTAACGGCCTGAGTTAGTAAACAGGCCGAAGTGGAAACGAAAATTGGTATAACCCCCATTTACGCTACACTCGACTTATTGTTACGGCGCGCCTCAAATGGATGGGTACCAGTACCATTTTATTCGTGCTCAGCCTTTGTTTTGGTAGCCTGAGCAAAAATAAATTGGGCACGGGTACCCATTTTAACCGTGCCGTGCAAATGAATTTAGTGTAATGTAAACGGGGCTTATATTGTTCCAAAAATACAAAATATTGCAAAAAAATCTGATAGAATTGTGTTTTGACAAGAAACTATCATGCATGCATTAACAATTATATTCTGAAAGAACTCGACCTATATAGCGTCGAAGCGCCCCAAAAATTAAGATTTTATCATGCTAATAATAAAAAAATAATCTTGCGATGTTGATGGGAACACCTCGGAATTATTTGCACATAATTATGCCAAATTGGTTCCTCCCGGCAGATCGTCCAATTCTGCCAAAATTGGTAACTCGTTATATAATCCTAAATTGTACCCGCCATCCCATACAAATGTTCGATAAGGCAGAACTCAGAAAATTTGGACATCCCACAGCAACTTCCCCCTAGTCTAACGCTATATAGTTTACATATAGCTGTGAAGTTGAATTTTTCAGCCCTATACAGCCCTACCCATGAGGGGCCGGTTGTTCGAAAGGCAGTTTTGAAACAAAATTATCACTATTTAATGAACAACAGTGCTAAAATAATTATTTCGTTGTAAATAGTTGAATTTTTATTGGAAGAACATAATATATTTATAATGCATAAGATGTAGTTCCAGTCATTCACAAGATGTCATAAGAGTGTTTTTAAACATTGGCTTAACTACCGTTAAACTAACGCCTTTTGAACAACCGGCCTCAGGGGCATACATCAAAAATTATCTGGGGGAGTTTTTCCCAAGCCGTGCATGGGACAGTATAGTTGTTTCTTTTAAACAGTAGTGTAAAATTTTAGTGGAAAAGCGAATGAGTTACCGAAAACGCAATAATTTGTCTTCTTCATATCTCATCTCCCTTATTATTCTACTTCTCTCACAGAATTGTTTACGTTTTTTAGATACCAAGTCAACTTTAAGCATCTATGGAATAGACACAACATTAGTTGGAAAAAAGTATAATGGTTTCGGCAAAGTTCATGTACATTGCAATGGCCAGGGAGATAATTACACTAGGGTTTATTGGATAGTAACCGCTGATTCCAACGGCAAAAACGAGACTGTAAATTCAACCGGTTCTAATTTTGTTCAGGCAAAAGTATGGCAGGCCTGGTTGTTGTACCAGCCGAAAAACATGACAGAGACTTACGTTTACCAGTGTGTCGTGGAAAACAAATGCTGTGAAAGGCAAATTAAAAGCCTCAAAATTCCCTATTCCCGACCGGCCAAGGGTAATTGCCACATCTTACTTATGATAACAAAGAATGCTAAGAATCCCCCACTTTCCCTTCTTAGAAACAAAACAAGATATTTTTTGGGATGATAAATATCCGTTGAATACATTCTTTTTCTTATCCTGGTCCTCGCATTTGAGCAAGCAAGGAAGGCCGATCTCGACTTTTCGCTAAGTCAGGCGTCTGAGTTCTGATAGTTCGAAACAGGCACATGCTATTTTTGGGATCACACACTACCGCCAGGATCAAGCTCTATTTCAATACCTCAAAATCATCTCCCGCCCTGTTGAACATGCATGCTAATTTAAGCGGTTCATATAAATAGGCCCCAGCCTGAGGATTCAGTGTATATAATTTATGTAGGTGTTGAAACAATTGTAGTTCATTCAACTTTTATTTTTACATTACAGATTGCCCATTTCTTCATAAATTTCTTCATGTAAGAGTAACGCCTATTCCGTCAAAGCGTTCAGTTAGATTAACTTGGATTTACGACCCTGATCCTAAAGATAAAGGTTTTATATTTCAAGTTGAAAACTTTGCTATAAAGGAGTTAAATATTACAACTCGAGAATACGTATTCCGTGGATTAGGTGCGTATGGATACGAATTTTCTGCTATATAATTATTCCTAAATTGCCTGTCCCATTCTTTCCACAACTGTTCAGTGAAGGAAAATGTTGTGTATACCCATCCCATGCCTCTTGACGTTTTCTGCATAATCACACGTAATGTCCATAATTATGGACGTAGCACGCTATGTCCATAATTATTATGACTGTTTATATAAAATGTTCATTATGTTCAGAGGAATCCGATCGAAATATGAAGAACTTGCATGGGTGATATTTTTGAATCAGATCAGCCTACATTGCCATGCATAAACACAAGCGATGCCGTATAGCTGAACTGACCTCATCGTTTTTGTAGAAAGTTGCGCCTTACTTGTAGTGCGATCTAAAATTGCGGGTCACCGTTTATTATAATTTATAGGCCGTATTTTATAATTTTTAGTTCCATTTAAATGGTACATATACAAATACAACATTCGATATGGAGATGATTGCAAATTACCTTTAGATAGTGTCGGTAAATTCCGAACACTGCCCGACAGTAAGTAAATATTTTTTTTATTTTTACATCCTGTGCTAGAACGACGTACTTCAAGCACTTACATTACTGAATTTCATTCCTACCAATTATATCCCTACAGCACCGTAGCTAGACCGCTTAATTGGGGTGGGTGTGTATTCATACATTCATGTTTATCTACTGCAGGAACTATAGCGTACAAATGAAATCCGTCGGGCAAAAGATGCATTTATGAGTATACACCCCCTTCCCAATTAAGCTTGTAGCTACGGCTCTGTATCCGTACCAAATCTATATAAGAGCGTGCAGGAATAGTGTAAGCTACGACGCTTGGCCTAATCGTTTTATATGCCATTCAATGAAACTGGCGCGTACACCAAAATTTCTTCATGCATGCACTAAAGGCCTTCTTAAACAGCGCAATTTTTAAAACTTGCAAGAAAATGCAGTTGTTCTTTTGAAATACATAAATTTTGCAACTTTCTTATAGTACCTAGCGAGGCTCGAAATATTTCATTGGCGGTCAAAGCGAATGCACTCAACGTAACATGGGAGCCGCCAAAATATACAAATGGTATATTCCAGCATTACACAGTACTGTGGAAAAAAACTGGTTTGGGAGAGAAATACGCAGAGAGAAATGTCACCTCCACAAATCTCATTATAGAAAACTTACGTAAGTTTGAATGGTATTCAGCACCCTGTGAGATAAATTTTGAAAATAAACTTTCATGTCACATCATAACAGTATATTTTTCTACAACACGACACTTTCTGACTGACTATAGCGACAAGGAGGAGTTGCGTTTTAGACCAATCAGCAATTTTGTTTACATTTTTAGTATCTTAATCAGAATGCCTAAATATTGACTACTTCCGGTAAAATGATACATTATTTACCATTTCACATGAAGTATTAAAATTTTAGGCATTCTGATTGGATGAGCTTAAGAAATATTCAATGTAGACAAATGTGTCGATTAGCTTAAAACGAAACTCTTCTTTAACTATTTTTCTTAAACACATTTTGATAAGTGATACATATTAATTTAAAAACCTTTCTTACCATTTTTAGTTGGCTATACTTCATATGATGTCAACGTGCGTTGTGTAAATCACGTTGGGACTAGTAATAGTTCGAAACCAATCTCAGCTACAACTGAAAAAGGTTTGTCTAAAGTAATTATTGTATTAAAAATATGTATGTATTTTTTATTTTGCATGACTCCGTTTAGCATTGTGGGTATCAATATTTACAGCTTTAAAGTGAAAGTCAAGTCAGTTCTGCACAAAAATGTGAGATGCGCATCTGGTTCTGCTCCTGAGATGTAAAATTTGCCCATATTTTGCATGTTTTGAATCTATCCGAACGTTCGCTTTTGTTTATATCCATTCAGTAGAGACGTAGCGAAACCTAGTATTAATTGTTATATATCTATATATAGGCATGCAGCACAGCCACATCGTATTTTTTTAAAGCACTTGAAGCTCAGAATGTAAACAACCCGCTTATTTAAATAGGGACTCGACTTCCACTTTAAATATATTCCTTTCCTCTTTTATCTTCATACAAAGGACTTGGACCATACATTCGTATTCAGACGATCAGTTCGCAATTAGTCGCCAATAATTTCACTGGATTTGGTAAAGTGGATATAACATGCACTGGGGAAGGAAATAATAGAACAAAGATCCGCTGGGTCAGAATAAGTAGAAACGGCAACAATATCACTTTGAATACAACTCACTTTGACTGGACTAACAGCGATGGCAGCCGAAGTGGTACATGGAAAGCCGTGTTGTTTGATAATCCGCGAGATCGAGACAAATTTCCTTACAAATACCTTTGCGTTGTGTTGAACCATTGTTGCTTAATGAAAACTTCATCCCCACTAACCATAAATCACACTTTTCAAACAGGTAAATTAAACCGTTATCTTGTCCTAGATTAACCAATAGAAAGAATAGTTTCTTTCTTTATCACAGAGGTAATTATCGCCCTCGTTAAATCCTGGTTGTAACATGATGCCTGAAGAATATAGCAATGTGTATATAATGAATATAGCAATTATGTTTCATTCTCAATCAAACTATGACATGTCTTCTTCTACATGCAACTTTGAAATGAAAAATTAATTTGGGCATTGTATTAGTCTAATATATGCTGCATGGCATAAAACCGCTAATCTATTAAGTATACGATTTGCACCGATTTAAAATCTATTGGAATGGACCCTGTGATATTGTTGCAGAAGGTATGGTTGTAATTGGGAAAGACAAGAATTGCCTAACGGCTAACACGGCTAATTACTGTATATATCTAAACTTAAATATAACGACAATGCGATTTATATTCTTTAAAGGTCTAGGTTCTATAAAATCACTATACACCTGGCACATTCGCGGCAAATGTTGCATAAAAACTGGTTTCCTATTATCCAATCCCCGACTCCTATCAGTGGTATGGACAGCGATTTCAGCAAATTAATTATAGCAATTAATGAAACAAATGATTTCAAAATTATACTTTGCAGCTCACAGTTGCCCAACGTCAGGAGTAACAAAGCCAATACGTGTCGACGTTTTTCCAAATAGACGTTCAGTAAAATTTTCTTGGGAATACCATAATGATCCAGAAGACAATGCTTTCCGATTTACAGTTGGTCAAATACAAACCGAAAAATTGGACGTCAGTCAGCGGGAATACCAAGTTTATGATTTGGGTATGTGGACTTAACATTACGTTTTGTTGCATGAATTAAGTGGTTCATGAAGGCCCGCAGAGCGATTCAGAGAGTGTAAGAACTGAGTCCTAAACGTTCTTTATTTGAATAATTCTGGCTGCCAAAAATATAGAAAACCCCCCGCCCCGTCTCCGCGGTCCATGTTCATGATCTCGAGCGAAATCAGGAAGCGTTGTTAAATAATTCCCAGAGGGTTGTATCAAGCTCGTTTATATAGGTTAAACTGTGGATAAGTCAAAACTAAATAGATCTCTCTTGAATAGGTCAACTTCGGAATATTAATAATTTTACTGGATAAGTAGACTAAAGTAGTTGTGTGTTAACAGTATGGGTCCGGTTGTATGAACGCCGGATAGTGCTATCTGGCCTTGATACAACTGGCCCATGGTTGTTTTAAGGTTTAAAGACATTTAGTTTGCTTGTTGAATAAAACGATAGGCTTGCTTTCAATTAATATTATTAACCTTAACCACCGTTCTCTCTTCAACACTCATGCATGTTTCCATAATTCATATAAATATTTATTCTCGCGGCTAATGCAAATGTTAAAAGTTCAAAAATTAAACAACCAAAACGGTCATGTACAAAATCTTCAAAGACTGAACGTCACACTTTATCTTTCGAATATTTCATTAACGTTGATTCAATATTTCTTGAAAAGTATGATTTATGCTATGTTTTTCTAAATACAGTTCACAGAATATTTTCGTCTTATTTTAGTACCGTACACAGTGTACAATTACAGCTACGGAATACTTTATGGGCCTGGATGCGAAACAAAGACTTTGAGTGGTCAATTTATTACTTTATCAGATTGTGAGTATGCACTCGAACCCCTTTCTCACGATTTTTTTTTGCCGTTTAATTCGTTACGCATGTGATGCCTATGTACTTGTCCTGCATGGATGAATTAAAAATACTGCATGGAAATTTACTCTATTGTTTAGTTTAATTTGTAAGACACTGATTTGTAAGACAAACAGTGATACGTGAAACATTTGCTTAGCTCCATAATATATGTGTCTCACTCTATTCGTGTTGGCAAGATATATTTCTTTTTATTTTTCAGATCCTGGCATACCTCGAAACGTAGTGGTAAATGTCGAAGGAAATTCTCTTTACATATCATGGATGCGACCTGAATACCTAAATGGCAAATTTAAACATTATGTATTGTCTTGGAAAAGGAGCTCTGAAGAATATTCGAAAGTCAACGTCACCTCAACACAATATTTAATAAGAAATTTAGGTGAGTATGGCATTTTATTTGCCAAATCATGGTATGCTTCGCTGCATGTTTGGTATTAGCCTATTTTAACGATTTAGATATTTGGGTAATTCAAGCCAAATCCCCAGATGCTTTCCTCCGAAAAAGGGCACCTTAATTAGGTAATACGTCGTTAAAGTTGTTGTTTCGAAATTTAGATGAAATTGGTGCGTACTCAATTAAACTCCAGGCAGTTAATGATGTAGGCATTGGAAACAGCTCTGCTTCTGTATCGGCAGAAATTGCCGCTCCAGCTGGACGATCTGAATCTCAAAGTTCTAACGCTGGGGCTATCGCAGGTGGTACAATTGCGGCACTACTAGTCGTGATATTTGCCCTGCTGGTCTTGTATCAACTACGAAAAAGAAACTTGCAGAGAGAGCGCAGCAAGTCAATCGAGGTATTAATTTTACACAAGATTATTAACATGACTCGTTGCTCCATATGGCAAGCAGGCGGTGTAGATATTTTAAGCTCGCAATAACGCTCTCTACTGTACTTATTTTATGCTCGTTTAGTTAAGCGAAATATAAATTTTCGAAATATTGTCACATACCTCAGCGCACCTCACCGAATTAACCTTGATGAATGCATTATATCCGATCTATGTTGCAGAAATTTCACTCTTGGCATCTTAATCGTGTCGACAATCCAAACAACAGAGATAGTATGGTCACAAAACAACAATCGTGCAGTAACAATGCTGAAGCATTGCCTGCGAAGCAAGGTGAGTGCATGTGATTCCCGCGAGATGCATTCAAATTATTTGACTTATTTCAATTGCTTCTTTCTTAAATAATTTACACAACTTTTTGTTGGATTTGAGCTAATTTCATCATCGAAATTAAATCATTGATTCGATATACTTTTAGATGTGGAGGAAAGCATTTCATATATTGTTTTGCTTGAGTCTTGGGAGATCGCACCAGATAAACTCAAGTTGCTGGACAAAAAACTAGGAGGAGGGCAATTTGGAATTGTTAAACAAGGATTATTAACAATTGACAAAGGAGATCCTGAGATTGTTGCTGTAAAAGCGTTAAAAAGTAAAGAATCTTGTTTCCATTATATGAATGACGTTTTCAATACCTGATTCAGTCGCAAACAAATTGAATAACGGTTGACTTTCGGCCATTTTAGGTGGTGCCAGTGAGACTGATCTCCAAGATTTGATGACGGAACTAACAATACTGAAGGAAGTGAACAAAATTCCTCACCCTAATGTCATAAAATTAATTGGTGGCTGTACAATAGAAGGTAAGCAATTGGAAAAAAAACAATGCATAGCTTTAATTAATTAAAATCGAGTTTTGCTGAGTCCTAGAGCCTGCGGCTGAATAACATACAAAATTTGGGAATTTGGCTATTAAGCGAATATTGATTAAAACTATAACTATAGGTAGCTAAATATATCAACGAATTTCTCTTTTGCGCTAAAAATTGCGGTAATATGCATCAATTGTGGTAATGTGGTATAACAACTGCCTAAAATATGAAGTATAAATGACGTTTTCATCCAAGAGCCTTTGTCGGTAAGGTTGTTATGAAATAACAAATCGGAAATAGCACATGGCTTTTGAATAAGGGATTAACACCGCAGAAATTGGTGTTTGTGAAGCTTCTTCTGATCACTTATTCACAATTGTTCATTTTGGTATTGCGATCAAAGGGAAAACTATGGAATAACGTTGAGACGCTCCATTTTTTCTTCTGAATTTGCATCGTTTTGTCGGCTTATCATACACATCTGACGGATATCAAGCGGCCAGTTTGAGTTTTAAAGAACACACAATGTTATCAATTAGACAATTCGTTTTTGCCGTGTGCTAGCTTCAGATCTTTTGTGCAAGACATAATACTATTTATTTTGCTTAGTATTTATCAATATTTTTACTTACCAAGTTTGAAGCCTATAAGTAATAATAAATGCTGCTTTTTCAAGATTTTCAAGGCTTAGTTTCAATTTTGTCAATTTCCAAGGAAACGTACAAACAAATTACATTCTCATTAGCTATATACGTTGCCAGATAATGTGATGCGGTCTTTTGCGGGTTAAAAAGAACCGGTAGTCAAGGAGGCCTTGTTTGACAAAGGTGTTATTAGGCAAGGTATGTCATAAATGTTTAATATTTTTTTTTCAGGAAAGCTCCATGTAATTACGGAATTTTGTCCTGGTGGAAGTCTACGAAGTTTACTGATCAACAGTCGAATTGAACGCAAAGAAGAGCACCTTCCATTTACGTATGTTAACTTGGCGTCGACCTTAAATCATCGTCAATTGCTAAAAATCGCTGCAGATATTTCAAGTGGAATGATCCATCTTTCTTCCCAGAAGGTAGCTACATTAAAACTGATCGAGTTTCAGATCGCTTACCATTTAGGCACCACAATTTTGACAGGAAAATGATGTTATAATTAGCCATGGCCAGAAATTGCGGACATGGAATATGCAGATTGCCGTAGCAAATTTGCATATCTGTTCAAATATTATTCGTTTGCAGAACTATAAATTATATTGCGCATTCTTAAATTTTGCAAAATTTAAGAAAATCATTGCATCTTTGCTATTTGCCCTGGTTGTTTCTTGTAACTCGTGTCATATTGAAGATCCTGAGGTAATATTTTGCTGGCAAAGGTTTATGTCGGCTCTGCATTTTTATTTTATTTCTACGCTATTACGGTTTTCGTTTTATATGGTATTCAACGTGATAAATGACCAAAACTTTGTTTTGAAAATGCAGAACGAATATTGATAAAACATTTTGAAATACTATATAAAAATATTAAGATTAACTTGCTCTGCAACGAGCAATTAAGGCAAATTATAATCGACCTACCTAAAGGTGTATTTTTAGCGTTTAGTACTGTGCACATTACAGTTTACTATAAACTCACGAAGCTTTATTTTGACACCATATGCAAATTTAGGCGGAAGTAGAATGTTAACTATGTCCGAATTTTCTGGCCATGTTGAGATAGCGACGTTTTTTGTTTACGTACAAACACCGACCGCGGAAGTTATTTGAAGCGTTATGACGAGAGCCGTTCTTGTTTGAAATCATGCAGGAACGTGAAATCCTGCATGTCTACTGCCGTTGTAGTTTTCAAATCACCGACTGCTGTCGACGCAAGAATGTAGCGTTAAAAAATGTACGCGTGACGTCCGTGTTTTTAAAGTGTCGCTATCTTTGGGGTACAAGTAAAGTATTCTTTAGGTTATACTGCATTTCGAAAGTGGTCGTGACGTTGTCAGAGTTTTTAATGCATTTCTTAATATATATTTCAATAGTTTGTTCATCGTGATTTGGCCGCAAGAAATATTCTTATTGGTGACGATAACTTGGCAAAAGTTTCTGATTTTGGTTTGGCAAGAGATGTTGGTGGCGCTGAGGAATACATAAGAAACAATCAGGTGACTTATGGCCCTGTGACACCGTGCAATTTTTCTTGGAACTTCCAATGCAATTCTGCTTTTAAGAGATGTGATTTAGCAAATAGTCTACAAAATTCTCATAAGAGACTTCTACAGATTTTTATAAAAACCAAATTTCAATGTTTCTTAGTTGCAGACGTACATCTTTAGAAAGGACAATTGCTGCATAACAAATTGCATAAATTGTTTTAAGCATTCATATTTAAAGTGCCTATATCACTTGTGGGATCTTTACGGATTTGAATAGAGCTTGAAAAATTAGTTTATAAGTTCTAAAACCCTTTTTGATATAGTTAAGTAGTTTCGGAAATATTTACATCTAAACATGACGATTTCCTAAATTTCCGTCGTGCTCGGGGGCCTGGGACTCAGGAACCGAGTTCTTGTCAAACATAATATAATAAATTGTAATTTTACTTCGATCTTCCAATAACGTAAAATATTTTGAGAAAAACTCGCCCAGTTGCTACAGCCATACAGAACGCACCGTTCCCGCATTTTTTTCTTGAAAAGCGCAAACTATATCGCCATTGAAACTCTTCACGCTTCCATTACAAAAGACGGCGTGTTTGCAAATCATTCCTGAGTTCCAGTCCCCCCAACCGACGTATTTTCGAAATTATTGAATTATATCAAAAAGGGTTGTAGAACTTATAAACTAATTTTTCAAGCTCTATTCAAATCCGTAATGATCCCACAAGTGATATAGGCACTTTAAGGCAGTATTTTTATTTTCCCTGACAAAAAGTAAAAGAATTTCCTCGTGACTCGTACACATTGCACGTATATATTCTATATTATATTACATGAAGAGAATTACATTTTTGCAACGTAAATTTGCATACTTGGACAGGCCAAACGAGCATGACCAAATTTCTGGTTATTACGGAAAAAGCTTTTCTGCAAACTTTTCTCAACTTACTAATGCAAAATATGTTGGTACAAGACAAAATCGTGTGCCATTTCCGTCTTTGTGAAGTACCCTTTGATTTTGGAAAACACGTATTTTTCGTTGTAGAATTTGCTTCCCGTAAAATGGATGGCTCTGGAAAGTCTCCTTCATGGTCGTTTTACAACTGCTAGTGATGTGTGAGTTACAAGTCTGCAAATGGCAATTTATGTTCTTATATTTGCGCCTTTTTCTCAGAATACCCCATGCACAGTCACCGTTACCAGATCTCTCCGAAACAAACTGTTGCAAATAATTTGAATTATCCGAGCTAACACTCTAATCAAATTCATGCAGTGTTCACAGGATCGATGGATACAATCCTGCTCAGGATAATATAGTAAATTGTATGACAAACATGCTTCAGCTTTGAAAACAAAATCTTTAAAGAAGTCACGATAGCATCCAAAGCCCTTCATGCGAGACATTCTTTCGAAACCAATAATTCTCAAGATATAAGATTCTTGCTCAAAATCTGTTCGTGAACTTCTCTCTCTTTCGTCTTTAATAGGTTTCATAATTTTAGAGGAACTCACGATTTGTGTTCTTATTTTAATAGGTGGAGTTTTGGCGTACTTCTTTATGAAATCACAACACTAGGTACTCGTGTTCCATGTCCAGAGTGCGTGCACGTCTAACAACAAAGTTGAATTTCACATGCATCTACAAGTTTGCACATGTTCTATTTTTATTTTTGAAATATCTGACGTATCTTTCAAAATTTCATAGGAGAGGAGCCTTACAAAAACATTTCCCCTTACAATATCGTTAGCCATGTGGGGTCTGGTTGTCGCATGTCACAGCCGCAACATTGTTCTGATGAAGTGTAAGGGCAACATTTCCTTGTTTCTTGTTTCTTTTCTAAAAGTTGCGTATTCGGCTAATCTCGTATTTATCTTCTTGCAAACTATGACAATCTCGATTTTTACTTCCGGTTGCTTTTTATTAGGTACGAAATAATGTCAAACTGTTGGAAGGTTGAGGCTTCAGAGAGACCAACATTTGAGGAAATACATGAATTGCTTAAAAACATGTTGCTGGATAATGAGGTACAATTTTATAAATCCCTCCATAGCAGATAATGTGCCAAAATTTCAAATTGATGTTGGTAGCGCAAAATGAGTATCAACAAGGTCATATAGCGTAATTACAGAGCACGAATCCCTTACAAATTAACATTTTATTAAAGTTGACATATTAGTAAATTGTATTGATTCTTGAGACTTTGCCTGAGATCTTCATAAGAATCAATATGTTTAATTCAAGTCGCTATTCTAGCATATTTAAGAAGTAAATTTGTGTCCATCAGTTTATAACGAAAATTCTCTAATTTAAACGCGATCGTGTGAACGTGGTCACCATCAACACTCATATTTTCAATGGCGTAATTAGAACGATAATTAGGAGGTGAATATTCATATATTTCAGTTCTGTCAAGCGAACTTCTTTTGCGGCAATTTTGGGTATAAACAAGCGAATATTCTTGCCTTCACGCATTTGCCCAATGTAGTTATTTGTAGAAGCTGAAAAAAATCACTCAGGGGAAATCAAAATTTGTATTAATAAGTAAATTAAATTATAGTGTTAGATATCGGACTGGAATTTTTTAAAAATGCTTTCTGGATAATTATTATAAACTTCTAGGCTATTGATCAACTAGCATCAAAATCCCTACTATTGCCGCAATATGGATTTTCGGAAAAAATTGTAGTGATTGTATAAGCTACTCTTTAAAATGTACTTTTAGTTTATATTTTAAAATTATGTGGTCTTCGCTTCTTTTAAAAGTTATTATTAATTAATACTTTAGAACTTCATATATAAGATTTCGCATTTCCCCACAATGTGCCTGACTGGTGCATAACATGAAAATTTAATCTCACCGTTTCAGAAATCCTACATAAATATTGCTAACGAAATAGCAGACGAAGGTTCACTGAGAAGTGCAATTGGACGAAACAACGGATCAAACAAAGACGGATCAATAAGATACACTACTGCTTAATAAAATTCACAACAAGGACATAGGCTGGAACCTTGGATACAGTCTTTGTTCATGGGTCATTTTGTTTTGTGTTTCCAAGAACCCTTCCACAGTGTTGCAATAATCGCAAATTAAATCACCTCGTTAAATGTAGCTACGACTTTTTTCCAATGCGCAATGTAAACCAAAATTTTCTCGAATATTTGCCCCAAAGAAAAAAATTGAACGAGACTTACGCATTTCTTTAATAGTATTGAAAAAGTCTTTAGCACAACGACCAAAGTCACCCTTGAGCAACTTTTACTGAATATAATCTCAAAGATTTGTCATCACTTGTACCTTTTCTTGAGTTTAGAACTCAGCAATTTAGCAACATAACGGAATTGCCGTTATCAAGTTACAAATGTTTTAAATATCATGAAACACATCATAGTGTTGTCTGGAATACTTCGAATTTTATACAAACGCAAATCTTCGCAGATACCCCAACCACGTTCATACGTATAGTTTATGTAAGCCTTATTAAAAATACATTCATATTATCAGTAGACAATATCTATGTACACTTGTAATGCAATTCCTTCGAAAAGATTATAATAAATTTATGACGTTTTATGACAAGTGTTTTGTATATAATATCTACCGCAAAATAACGACGGTCATCGTCAAGTTAAATCGGAATAGCCATTTCGAAGCTTTGCCAAAAGTTTCTATAAGGGCTCGTGTTATTGCTTGAATCTCAAAAAAACTAGCCCAGAGGCAGGTGCTAAACGACGCGTTTCTGTCGAATATAATTCAGACGAATTTAATTGCTTCTATTTTTTAAATTCGACAGAAATGCGTCGTTTAACTTGATTGAATTCGACAGTTTGAATTAAATTAATTTTGTCTAACTCGCATTATTCGTCCAGCTTGGACGGATAATGCAACGAAAATTCGTCTTCAAATTAAACGACGAATAATCGACAATTATAATTCAGACGAAGCTAATAAATAATTAGGTAAATGATGTTAAAATATATTGAACCAATGAGGATGTTGGATATTTATTGCGCGAAATAATTCGCGCCGCAATTTTTGTAGAGAACAGACAAAATGGAGGAACCTTGTGTTTATTGTAAAACATCAACGAAATATACTTGTATAACGTGTTCTTCGTTTGTTTGCAAACGAGCTGAGTGTAGTTTGGCTGAGTTAGAAGAATCACCAACCGGATGGATTCCTCAGAAAAGTGTTGGATATTGTCTAACTTGTGCACAAGAAGTTTTTTCTGAACATGAAGAGGAGCAACGCAAGAAACTTCGCACTGAGTCAATCGAAGAATATATGCTTCGAGATATGCTTCGTATACCTATGAAATATTTTAAGCAACTTCTGCCACATTACAGCCACTATGCGACTAATTTGAAATTAGTGTCAGTTTTTTTTACTCACCCTGTATATCACAAACGGACAGTTCGGGAGCACAAGCTAGACAATAACAATAGAACTGATTGCCAGTTAGAGACAGGCGAATATGATAGAGATAATACGTTTCATTTCAAGCGCACATTTTAACATGAAAAGAAATTGAAATAGAACAGCAAACGGCCATTAAATCCACTAAACGAAGTTCAAAACGAGACGGACAGTTGACAGGTCTGACAAAGAATATTTATCTAAACCGAGTTTCTAATGACAAGACCCCCAAAGTCAATGTTAAAATGTGCGGACGATCGTTCAAAACTACCGTAGACACAGGCGCAACAATCAACGTCATCGACCGAAGTAATCTCAAATATAGGGAAACGAAGAAAAACGAACATGAAAGCGTTTGCGTATACTGCTATAGCAAACCAGGAAAATTTATCGGCAAGTTTGAGAAAACTATTAAGACTCGACGTCGAGTTACAGTGGAAACTTTTTACGTCGCAGAAACGACAAACAACCGTCATCTAATATCATCAACAACGGCAGACGAACTTGGCCTGGTCAATTTTCGTCTTAACAAAGTAACGGATACAAAAGATCGACGAAGCTACAAACAGCAGAAAATGACTGAGGAAAATGTAAACTTTATTTCCCGCTCCAGTGTTCCGAAAGTATTAATGATAGAGAAAATCGAAGGAAGAAATACCGAAAGTTAGAGTACATTATGGTTTTAAAATGCATGAAAGCTTCTTTTTTTACCAAAGTTTTTAGTGAGCTTGATATTAATCTGCATGCATGTTACGGATGCAACTGTGAAAGTACCTTGAAACAAAAGTCTGAATTACTTCTTTCAATCGTGAAAACATTGTATGTCAAGCCTTGTTGATTGATCTTCCGAAAAATAAGAGTACATAAATTGCATATTATTCTTGCTAGATAATGGCGTAACTAGAACAGTAATTGAAGGGCTGGGTGAATACTCATCTATCTAGTTCCGCCCGATGAATTTATTTTGTACGTCCAATTGCTTACAATGGAAATCCGTCCGTCAGAACTGAAATATGAGTATCCACCCCCCCCCCCCCAATTATCCTTCTGGTTACGGCCCTGTTGCTTCATGATGTACTCAGGGCCGAAACTATAGAGCGTTAACTGGAGAAAATACGTAGATAAACACGAGCAAAAAAAGCCCGTCGTGGAGAACGAAAATATCAATGTGAACACCCTGCTCCAAATTATGGAAACTAGTTAAATCAAAAGTTTTATCTCAACAAAACCATGGATACCACCAGGATATCCTCCTTTATTCAGTTGATTCCTTCCATTATTGAAAGATCCACCTCCTCCTCCACAAGAGTTGTCCAAGGCTACGCCAGGTGCTCCTCCAGAATATCCTCCTCCTCCTCCTCCTTGAAATCCCCCTGCTCCATTTTGTCCTCCTCCTCCACCTCCTCCCCCGCCAAATCCTCCATCAAAAACGCTATAACCATCGCCTCCTTCTCCCCCATTCACAAATGCTTTTCCTCCACCATATCTACTGCTGGGCCCATCGCCATAAAATCCGCCACCTCCGCCACCTAAAAAATGGAATTTCGTATTTACTTCACTTTATCAAAACATTACTCAACAAAAAGGAGATAAATAACTTTATACGATCGCAGATAGTGCATACCTGTTTACATAGTGAATTTCTAATAAATATTGAGGCTTAGGATTCTCCTATACTATTTCCAATGCCAGGCAAATTCCCTAGAATTACTGATGCACTCACATAGTGTGTATTTATTAATATATTAATTGAATTATTTTATGTGATGTAAAAATTCTCCGACGATGTATATAAAAGACAAGTCAGACATGACACATCTATTCTATCGGCTCATATATGGGCGAGTGTATTTCCTATCCGAATTATATCTATAAGTCGTGTTCGTCAGTTTCAGGCATTTCCTTGCGCGTCTACTGGAAACCGCTTAGTGTGCGCGAAACATTAGCGAGACTAGGCACTATACAAGTCAAATAATAGCAAATATATAACAAGAATCACAAGCACACTCCTGGCCACTTTTGCCTAAAATTTGACAAAATCACGCTTGCGCCAGTCCACTTCAACATAACACATCGATCGGCGCGCAGTGAGCGCGTTTAACTGCCCTCTATATAAGCGCCTTAATTTTGACCCTTTTATTAGTAAAACAAACGGAGTAACAATAATGAAAGTCACAAAATGTTGCATAACACTCGTGGTAATAATTTCGACGGGAGGACATGGGCCGGGCATGAAGAATTTCAAGCTCGTATGGGACAAGCTGTGTATAGAACAAAAACATGACATCCATATTCAGGTGTAAAAATAATTTCTTCAAAAATTACGAACCATCGTAGCAAATATTTCTGGCTATGAAATGAATGTTTGTGGTTTAACTTTTAAAAACATCATGTACATTAAAGCTGCCATTTCCATTAACACCTACGGAGATGGTAAAACATCCCACCACACGCGGTCATTATAATTAATACTTTGTGAGAGAAGAACCTTGAATGCCTCTTATTCTATCACAATTCAATGTGTTTTCACGGCTGTTTATTATGCTATGAAATTTTTTTTTGATTGTTTTTTTGCTTTGCGTTTATTCTTAAGAGTACGCAAGTCTCTTAATTAGATGTTTTTATTGCCATTGCCTGAAAACATGTGAGCCAACATTATGTTTATTGAAAAGTTTTACATACATAGCCAAACCCGGCAGGCGTTCTTTCGCCGTCTTCAGTAGCCTTGTCTGATTTTAGGGAACGCCTGCCATGCAGGCTAGGTGGGACATAGAGCCCTGCACAGTTTTTGTACTTTATAACTAATTGTCTTCGCGACGAGAGGTTTTCCAAATTTGTGTTTTATTGATTCATTCGATTGTCAAAAAACAGAATGACATAATTATATGAACTGTTATTGACAGAGAATGTATAAGGCTAAGGAGTAACCTCATCTCTATGTGTTTCTAGAAGTGACTAATACTGTTGCGCTTGTTTAGATCAAATTACCCGTTAATTACTTCATGTTTACCAATTAAGGTATACATGCACCTGCTGTATTATATAGCTTTCATATATTATGCAACGAGTATTTCTTAAAACTTGTCCTAAAAAATTTTCAACTGCACGTGTATACATGCATATGAAGATGAAAGACCGAATTTTGTTCAAATATATAGCTGTCGTTTGTTTATATTTCGGCGTCTATAGCTATAGTCAATGAATTACAGATATTATTTAAAATTTGCATGCGCACACTGGGATATATGTCATAATTATTCAATGAACATTTGTAATTTTGGGAAACAAAATAGATATCACTTTTTAAGACAAGCTAATATTGCCCTACCTTAAAAATGGCTGTGGATGACTTCAAGGATAGATTTTTCTCTTATAAAATACAATATTATATAAACTCAACAATACGCCATGCAGCTGCAATTACCAAGCGTGCATGAGGTTAGGCCTGCTTTAGCTTCGACTAAAACAAGCTTCGTCCACTTAAAATTTTCCGTATACATGCACAAGTTTAATTATCTCACCGCAAATGCCCAGTGGTTTTCCAGCAGCTTCGTTCTCATTAATCGTGAGCCGATTTCTCGCGACGACCATTGAAATGGTCCATAGAGTTTAAGTTAAATATTATACTTAATCTCAGTTTAGAAAATACATTCATCATGACTATACTCGTCCCTAACGCTTTGATAGCAAAACCGTCGTTTTGTTTTGCGTTGTCGAGAATATATATACGCTACGCATTAATTTGTGCTCTTGCATGATCTAGTACTAAAAATTTTTGTCCCATTTTTTGTTACGGATGTGGTATAATTAAAACTTCTTCTATGAAGCCGGAAAATTTTAATTTCATATTTTTTTGTTTATCCTGTGACACAAGTCTCGTAGATGCTGTTTTGCCATTACCAGAAAAAAAATAAAAAATGTGTCTATAACAAATTATTCCAACCGGTTTATTTTTTCGTTTTTTTTTATTTAAACACCCCAGTATAATGAAATTTGGGAAATGCCTGCATTTTTGGCACTATATATCATCGTATGTTCTGAATATCTTTAATAGCAATTCCCAATAATAATAAGATCTCAACTAAAATTTTCGAAAAAATAATTCACAGACAACTTATCCACATTCAATGGAAGCTTACCAAGCAAGTGAACATTGAAAATACCAAAGTTTCTACATGTATACAATCCATGTCTTTTATTTATAATATTTCTGCATCCAATTATTCCGACATAAATACTTTGAAATTGCATGCGCGCGCGTATATATAGCATATTAATTTAATTGTGGGGTCGGTTGTTCAAAAGCTTGTAAACTTTCTCAGGGTTAAGGCAAATTTTTACATCAATTTTTTTCATCGCTTCTTCATAAAAGTTGAATATTTTTACCACGAGTACCTGGAAGAGCGAGGTTTGTGCAAAAAGATCGAAGTGTTATATATATATATAGTGAAGTAGTATATATATATATATATTAATATATATATATATATATATATATATATATTTCTCGGTAAAGACTGAGCAAGCGAGGATAATAAAAGTTTATTATATTGTGCTTTTTTAATTAAGAATTTATCTGTTTTTCATCTCGTAATAGATCGCCGCTAACGCCGGTCCATTACGGGAAAGTAATGGCCGCTGAAAATTCTTCTCACCCAATCATGGAGCTCCATTTCACCGGAAGTGACGCTTGCCATTATTTATTATACGAGGGAAAAGAATGTGCGTATTTATATCTATATAAGTATTTGCATAACAAATATCAGATATCTCTCGTTATAATTAGTTCAATTATATTTGCATCTTAGATATGTTGCTTAGTATACATGTGTATAGATATACCGGGAACCGTTTTTGATTATAACGGATAGAAAACGGATAGCAAACGGTATTTCAGCCCGTTTTTTGAAACCGTTAATGTATATATGTTTTCCCGTGGAGGGTCACAGATGTAAAATGGGACAAACATCTTTTATTACTAGAACACAAATGTGTAGCCTACACTTTCCACAACGCAAAACCACGCTTTTGCTATCAAACTGTTCGAGGCGTATAGTCACGATGAATGTGTCTCCAAACCAATAATAAACTTTAATTAAAATTCTGAGCATATTTCAGTGGTCGTCGCGAGAACTCGGAAAGTCATTGGTTCATTATTAATGAGAATGACGCTGCTGGGCAAGCATTGGACACTTTTGTTGATGCAATTAAATTTGTGTATACAGAAAATTTTCATTTTAAGTGGACGAAGCTTGTATCAGGGAGCTAAAGCACGCCTATATATAACCTTATCCTTGGTAATTGCAGTTGGCGTATTATAGTGTTTCCTGTATTCTATAAAAGCAAAATCCATCCATGAGTTAAAGACAGCATGCAAAGCCATATAATAAGGTAGGGAAATATGAAGCTTCTCCTAAAGAACGTAATATCGATTTTGTTTTCCAAAATTACAAATGTTCATATGAATAATTCTGTTATATATCCGTGTGCGCATGATTTTAAAATATGTATAGCTATCGCACGCCGAAATATTAAAAAAACGACAGCTATATACATGAACAAACTTTTGTCTTCTCATGTTCACGTGCGTGTATATGTTCACGTGTGTACCTACACGAGCAATTGAAATTTTGTACCATAAACTAGCAGCATTATAGGAAAGCTATATAGGGAATAAATTGGCAGTAAGTGCAAGTATACTTTAATCGGGAAATGTATATCTAGTAACGGGTATTTTGATCTAAACAAGTGCAACAGTATATTATGAAATTTATATTATATATGTAGTAATTTCCATCTCTTTAAAGCACTAAAGACATTTTCTTGCGGATTTGCCTTGAACCTTTTGCAGTTTGTTGAACATGAATATTTCGCTATTCTAATATAATAATTAATCCTTGGGTATATTATACCAACTCATGGGCAAACGTTCGCGTTACCCACGTCTCATTTCAGGCATGATAAAAAAATGTGACCTTCCACAGAAAAACATACGTTAACGTTATTTCGTTGGTTCAAAAATATCGTTCGTTATCCGTTTGTTTGCCGTTCAAACGCTTCAAGCGTTCGTTGAAACGATTTTCGAAATCGTTCATCGTTCGAAATTGCCCGTTCGAACGCTTAGCAAAAAACGTTGGAAAATTGTCCCAAAAGCGTTCATCCATTTGATTTACCGTTCGATGAAACGTTTGTCGGAATCGTTTAATAGCATTGGACATAACATTAGATGAAACATTTGCAATGCTACATACAACTCTATAGCAGAAGCGCAGAATGTGTTACACAGATATAATCCTAGAATAGTAGGCTTGTAATGGTGTTATATACAATTCAGTGCATGTTATTATTTCACTAACGTCAAATTTCACGTCAAAAACTCAAAATGCTTTCTTTCAAAAATTTATCGTTTTTTAAATGCCGCGGTAATGCAATTATCACAATCTTTATTAATAGCACTTTAACACTTTATTAATTCTGTAGCTTCCATAAAGACAAAGTTCACCACGCGCATAAACAACGTCGCAAGCTATATAATTATATTAAGCATTACGAGCCATATGCCTTGGGAAGATACTAATTAAATTGCATAATTGTCGGAAGTCTCTAAATGTATGAAAACAGGCAAAAATTAAACCCGACATCAAAATGAATTGAGGGATTTTGCGTGTTACATATTATCAAGCCTGATATTGTCTTACTTGTAAACGATATATTTTTTTACAAAAAAAAGACTTGATCCGGCAGGAATAAATTAAAACTCATGCATTTTTCAAATTTATTTATAGACTTTCTCAATAGCAGAAATTTGCGACATGATAATTTGCATGTATTGCATTTAACTTTCAGCATAATGGGCTTCAACTTTTACTATAAAATACATAAAGTAAATATACAAAACTTAAAAATGCCGTTGCCCTAGACCTTGCCTACTGTTTCCCGACGTCTAGATGGGTAGAGCAGCTGTTTAGAAACGTTTTGGTGACCAAATTTTTTAGCTTGGGCAATTCTGCAATCTGCCAAATCAAATCAAAGTTTTATCCGTGTTCTGTCAACGAACTTATAAAATCGCTCAGATTGATTCAAATATCTCGATTCAGTTACATGAGTTAGACTCTCCTGACGAAGCCGCTCAGGTCGATACGTCAAGAAGTGTTTTTGTCTATATCAAGGCAGTTTTTATACCACATTTGATGCTAATGTATAAAAAAAGCTGCAATAAGATAATAGCATAAGACCTTAGGCCCCGGGGGAATTATTGTGATTTTTTATACACCCTTTGTATTTCAAAAAACAGCACAATTAATTCCCAGTTTTAAAAATAATATAAGATTATTCATTACATAGCCGCCCACTTACGTTCGATGTACTGGTAGGCGTTCTATAATTGAGTAGACAATATAGATATAGCTAACTCGTTATGTTTATATTGTCAATTTCTAAGGGAGGCTTTTAGCAAATTTTATAAAACGAAGAAAAAGGCTTTTGAAGCTCGTCATACCTAAGCAATTACATTGCCCTGACGCCATGCATATATTTCGCACTTATATACTGAAATGTTTGATTTTAACATGCTTCATTTTTCCTAATTACCAACCAACTATAGGCTACTTCATAGCTGAAAGCAGGATTATTTTCCATTTAGTTGACATGGGGGTGGAACATTGGACTACGCTTTTTGTGGTTGTTACAATTCTATTTCCCAAAGGCGTACAGATGTGCGTAAGGAATCCAGGTGCGTGCTAGTTTTAAAAATATACAATATAATTGTTTAATGCTTTTTTTTTCTTGCATGCAAACATAAAATCAAAATTTTACTTCAAGGATTTATAAATTTACCTCTGCTGCTGTTCTCCAAGCCAAGTTAATATGTATGCAAAAATTGTATACTAATCAAATTCTTCCAAGGAGAATGCTGTTTTTTTCAGTACTACGGCCAGCCCTAGTACAAAAATCATCATTTTTTCTTTATTGGGTCAGCAGGATCGTAAAACCCAGAGGGCCTTATCACTCTACAATGAAGAATCAAATTCTGTTTAGAAATTATTTCCCACATATATATTTCCTTCATCATGGTGAGTAGAGTGGCCAGCCTAAGGATATATATTTTATTTGGTGTTAATATTTTGGTAATCATTGACTGTGAAAATAATAAATTTCTAAACAGGGCCGTAGCTAGAAGCTTAATTCGGGGGCGTTATATTCATAAATTCATCTTATTTCCGACTGATTTTTTTGTTCGCTAATGTTCTTGCTTTAGAAAGGCATGAATATATGAATTTAGTATTTTTGCAACTATGAATATAACAAATCTTACATATTGAATGTCAAGTTTGACGTGTTATGCTGTTATATTCACCTTCGGGGGCCAGTTGTTCAAAAGACGTTTAATTCAACCCTGGGTTAACGCAAATTTTTACATCAACTTTTTTCATTGCTTGTCTATAAAAGTTGAATATCTTTTCCATTCGTATTTTCTGGTTCAATAGAAGTGATATTTTATGACGTTTTAAAACGAACAATGGTTCAAAAGCACATAATGTAAAACAATGGATTTAAAAATTAACCCACGGTTAGCGATAAAAGATCTTTAA